TGGGATTACAGGCACGTGCCACCACGCCCAGCTAATTTTTAGTATTTTTAGTAGAGACGGGGTTTCACCATGTTGACCAGGATGGTCTCGATCTCTTGACCTCGTGATCCACCCGCCTCGGCCTCCCAAAGTGCTGGGATTACAGGCTTGAGCCACCGCGCCCGGCCCCTTTTTTTTTTTTTTTTTTTTTGAGACGGAGTTTCGCTCTTGTTACCCAGGCTGGAGTGCAATGGCGCGATCTCGGCTCACCACAACCTCCGCCTCCTGGGTTCAGGCAATTCTCCTGCCTCAGCCTCCTGAGTAGCTGGGATTACAGGCACGCGCCACCATGCCCAGCTAATTTTTTGTATTTTTAGTAGAGACGGGGTTTCACCATGTTGACCAGGATGGTCTTGATCTCTTGACCTCATGATCCACCCACCTCGGCCTCCCAAAGTGCTGGGATTACAGGCTTGAGCCACCGGGCCCGGCCAACCACCAGGCTGATTTTTGCATTTTTAGTAGAAATGTTGTTTTGCTGTGTGTGACAGGCTAGTCTTGAACTCCTGGCCTCATGTGATCTGCCCACCTTGGCCTCCCAAAGTTCTGGGATTACAGGCATGAGCCACTGTGCCTGGTCCATGCCGTTTTATTATAGCTTTGTAATACATATATATATTTTTTTCTTTTCTTTTTTTTTTTTTTTTTTTTTTTTTTTTTTTTGAGACCGAGTCTCGCTCTGTCGCCAGGCTGAAGTGCAGTGGCCTGGTCTTGGCTCACTGCAGCCTCTGCCTCCCAGGTTTAAGCAATTCTCCTTCCTCAGCCTCTGAGTAGCTGGGATTACAGGCATGTACCACCACGCCCAGCTAATTTTGTATTTTTAGTAAAGATGGGGTTTCACCATGTTAGTCAGGCTGGTCTCAAACTCCCGACCTCAGGTCATCCACCCACCTCGGCCTCCCAAAGTGCTGAGATTACAAGTGTGAGCCACCATGCCCAGCCTAGTTTTGTTCTTTTTGCTCAGGATTGATTTGGGCTGTTCAGCATCTTCTGTGGTTTTATATGAATTTCAGGATTTTTTCTCCCTATTGCTGTGATTGCATTTAATCTGGAAATTACTTTTGGTAATTGTCATTTTCAACAAATTAATTATTCCAATCCATGAACATGGGATGACGTTCCATTTTGTGTGTGACCTATTTAATTTCTTTCATCAGTGTTTTATAATTTTCCTTGTTGGTTAAATTTATTCCCAGGTTTTGTTTTTGTTAGCTTATAAATGGAATTGCTTTCTTGGTTTCTTTTTTTGGTAGTTTGTGGTTAGTATGTAGAAATGCTACTGGTTTTTGGTACGTTAATTTTGTATCCTGCAACTTTACTTTATTCTAGAGAGTGTTTTGATAAAGCTTTTAGGGTTTTCTGTATGTAAAATAGTGTTGAATGCAACAGGGACAATTTGGCTTCCTCATTTGGAAGTATTTGGATGTCCTTTTTTTTTTTTTTGAGACGGAGTTTCGCTCTTGTCACCCAGGCTGGAGTGCAATGGCGCGATCTCGGCTCACCGCAACCTCCGCCCCCTGGGTTCAGGCAGTTCTCCCGCCTCAGCCTCCTGAGTAGCTGGGATCACAGGCATGCGCCACCATGCCCAGCTAACTTTTTGTATTTTTAGTAGAGATGGGGTTTCACCATGTTGACCAGGATGGTCTTGATCTCTCGACCTCGTGATCAACCCGCCTCGGCCTCCCAAAGTGCTGGGATTACAGGCTTGAGCCACCGCGCCCGGCCGGATGTCCTTTATTTCTAGCTCATGCAATTGCTCTGGCTGAAACTGCTGCAGTACAGCTTTGAGAAGGCTGAGGTGTTGGGTGTGGGTAATGGTGGAAGGAATCCAGGTAACAGGAAGAAAGAAAGTAGCAGCCCAGGTCTGTGCCTGAGTCTCCCGGTGAGACACGAAACCCTCCCAGCAGAGTGACCAGAAATACCCGAAAGAGGGCGGCACCAGCTTTGCTTCCAGTCCGCGCCTGGCTGAGCTTACTGCCGGTGGTATCTCCCCACCGTGTCTCAGGTGCTGCACAGAGTAGAGGTTCAGAAGCTGAGTGGACCTGAGCTGGTATGGGAACAAAGAGAAACTTGTTTTTTTTTTTTTTTTTTTTTTTTTTTTTTTTGAGACGGAGTTTCGCTCTTGTTACCCAGGCTGGAGCGCAATGGCGCGATCTCGGTTCACCGCAACTTCCACCTCCTGGGTTCAGGCAATTCTCCTGCCTCAGCCTCCTGAGTAGCTGGGATTACAGGCACGTGCAACCATGCCCAGCTAATTTTTTGTATTTTTAGTAGAGACGGGGTTTCACCATGTTGACCAGGATGGTCTCGATCTCTCGACCTTGTGATCCACCCGCCTCGGCCTCCCAAAGTGCTGGGATTACAGGTTTGAGCCACCGCACCCGGCTGAGAGAGAAACTTGTGAACACGACCCAGCAATAAGGGGTCTGGGGAGGTGAGCGGGAGTCCAGGTTCTGAACAGGATCCAGAGTAAACGGATTGTCATTAGAATGTCGTAAGAGATGGACCTACCCTAGATGCTTCGGAAATAGCTAGGGAGAGCAACAGAAGCCACAAGTGAGTCGATTTACGTCACAGGACTCTCTCGGTGCCTCTTGGGCAGCCGGAGACCTCGACGGCTGGCAACGCCCCTGCCCACTTGACCTGGTGGACTGCGCTTGGCTTGTGCTTTGGGCTGGATCCCACACTCGCCACAGGATCTGCACTCAGCCTGCCGCTGGACTGGGCGTGCCATGACCTGCTTCCACCTTGGGTGCTGATGCCTGGATGAGGGGAACTTGGAGACACCAGCAACCCCGGATCCCCAAAGGCGTTATTCCTGCTGTCTGTGGTGTGGGTGTGAAGGGTGTGTGCTGCACGTCCGTTTCCAGCATGGGGCAAGACTCGGAGAGGCACCTGCCTGGAGCTTCAGGCAATGGGACCCAGAGACGGGCATGTGGGCAGCTGCCCCAGGTGAAAGGGATCTTGGCACAGCTCTGGGTTTCCCAAGCTGGCCCTGACCTTCATGCTTTTCTGCCCATGGTGGAGACTTACAAGCTCCATGTTGGGGGTGCTGAGGGACAAGCCTTCAGCTTCCCCCACCATGTCCCTGCCACTGCCCAGGGCTCTTGTTCTCTGGAGAGGTGGATCCAGCCCTCCCCGTCTCAGTGCCCTGCCAGGGCCAGGCTTCCCCTGGCTGCTTCTGCAGCCCCAGGAACAGGCGGAGGGTACACAGCTGAGGAAGCTCTAAGCCTTGGAGGGGCCAGGCCTGTACATGCCCACCACCACCATGGAGTCTGACACACGAATGGGCCAGTGACTCAATCCTCCCTCACCTTCTCTTCATCTGTTAGGGGTGACAAGGTGCTCCCAGTGTGGCCAAGAGGGTGCAGCACCTCAACCAGTTCTCCCTCTGGCCACGCCCCTTCTCTCTTGGCCCCCCTTCTGAGCTGGCAGGGCTTTCTTCCTGGCTTCTGCAGGGCAGAGTGTAGTATGGTTCTCTAGAGAGAAAGAACCAATAATGGAGTTTAGGAGAGGGGGGATTTCTTTATTTTATTGGAGATAGTGTCTTGCTCCGTCACCCAGGTTGGAGTGCAGTGGTGTGATCTCGGCTCACTGCAACCTCCACTTCCCGGGTTCAAGCAATTCTCCTGCCTCGGCCTCCCAAGTAGCTGGAATTACAGGCAGCCACCACCATGCCTGGATAATTTTTGTATTTTTAGTACAGACAGAGTTTCACCCAGGCTGGTCTCAAACTCCTGACCTCAGGTGATCCTCCCACCTCTGCCTCCTCAAATGCTGGGATTATAGGCTTGAGCCACGGAGCCCAGCCAGAAGACTGGATTTATTAGGGGAACTGGCCACATGCTTGTGGAGGCTGAGAAATTCTCCCACAGGCTGTCTGCAAGCTGGAGACCCAGAGAAGCCACTAGTGTGGCTCAGTCCAGGTAAGAAGGTGGAAGAACCAAGGTAGCCAGTGGTTTAACTCTCATTCTGAGGCTGACGAACCTGGAGTCCTGATGTCCAAGGATGGGGAAGATGGGTGTCTCCCTCCAGATGAGAGAGATTTGCTCTTCTCTCTGTGTTCCATCTGGGCCCCCAACGAACTGGATGTGCTTGGCCACATTGAGGGCAGATCTTCACTGACGCCAACAAAACATCCTCACCCACTCAGAAACAATGCTTCACCAGCTGCCAGATGCAGCGGTGTGTACCTGAGACCTGGCTATGCAGGAGGCTGAGGTGGGAGCAACTCTTGAGCCTGGGAGTGCAGGGCTGCAGCAAGCCATGATTGCGCCACTGCACTCTAGGCTGGCTGAGAGATCCTGTCTCAAATAAATAAAAACAAAATAAATAGCCGGGCGCGGTGGCTCAAGCCTGTAATCCTAGCACTTTGGGAGGCCGAGGCGGGTGGATCACGAGGTCGAGAGACCGAGACCATCCTGGTCAAAACGGTGAAACCTCGTCTCTACTAAAAATACAAAAAATTAGCTGGGCGTGGTGGCACGTGCCTGTAATCCCAGCTACTCAGGAGGCTGAGGCAGGAGAATTGCCTGAACCCAGGAGGCGGAGGCTGCGGTGAGCCGAGATCGCGCCATTGCACTCCAGCCTCGGTAACAAGAGTGAAACTCCGTCTCAAAAAAATAAATAAATAAATAAATAAAATAAAATAAAAATAATAATAATAAAATAAAAAAATAAAAATAAAATAAAATAAAAATAAATAAATAAATAAATGCTCCACCAGCCATTGAGGCTTTTCCTTTTTTAAAAAAAACAGGGTCTCACTGTCACCCAGGCTGGAGTGCAGAGGCGCTGTCATAGCTCACTGCAGCCCTGAGCTCCCAGGCTCAACCCGACCTCCTGCCCACCTCAGCCTCCCGAGTAGCTGGCACTACAGCCTAGGAGCATATGCCACCATGCCTGGCTAATTTCTTAATTTTTTGTAGAGAAGTTTCACCATGTTGCCCAGGCTGGTCTCAAGCAAACCTCCTGCCTGGGCCTCCCAAAGTGATGAGATTACAGGCAGGAGACATGGCAGCCAACAAAGACATCTTCTATCCTGAGTCAGCTTGACACCACCTGAAACTCGCCACCACGCAGGGCCTGGTGCTGAGGCCTGGCTGCGCCAGGCTGCATGTGTGTCTATGGCGTCCCCTTTGCTCTGCTCTTTGCGGATTGAGCATAGCTGCCCCTCCCTCACTTCTGCCAGCTCGGGGACATTTCCCAAAGGTCCCAGGAAACAGTGGTTGATGCTGATTCCTGAGGCCACACCACGGGCCACTAGCTGCCCTTCCCTCCCTGCTGCCCAGCTGGAGCAAGAGGCCGAGCGCTCCGGGTAAGAGCTGGCCCCTTCTCAAGACTCTGCCGCACCTTCAGGACGTGGGATTCGAATTTCCGCGCTGGGACCGCGCCCGCTTGTGCAGGCTTCCCGTGTGAATCCTCGAACTGTGGTCCCCGTCATCAGGAAGCCAGGCGCGGCGCCCGCCCGCCCTCCATGTCCTCGCGGTACTCGCGGCCGTGCACCTTCTGGTGCTGGATGAGGGTGGACAGGCGGCTGCAGGCCCTCCCGCAGGAGCGGCACTGGTACGACCTCTCGCCGCTGTGGAGCCGGTAGTGCTCGCTCAGCGTGTAGCTCCTGCGGAAGGCCTTGCCGCACTCGGTGCACGCGAAGGGCTTCTCCTTGGTGTGGATTTTCTGGTGCAGAGTGAGGCTGGACTTGCGAGCGAAGGCCTTGCTGCACTCTGCGCACGCGAACGGCTTCTCGCCCGTGTGCAGACGCAGGTGCAGCAGCAGCAGGGAGCGGTGTCGGAACGGCTTCCCGCACACCGGGCACTCGTGGGGCCGGTCCCCCGCCTGCGGCCTCTGTGCCGCTCCGAGCAGGGCGCCCTGCCCCGCGCCGCCGTCCCGGGGGCCCTCCTCGGCGTGCAGCCGGTGGTGCTTCAGAAGCGAGGACCCCCGGATGAAGCGCTGCCCGCACCGCAGGCACCGGTAGGGCCGCTCCCCGCTGTGGATGCGGCCATGCTCGCTGAGGGTGAACCTGCGGCAGAAGGCCTTGCCGCACTCGCCGCACTCGCCGCACTCGAAGGCCTTCTCCCCGGTGTGGAACTTCTGGTGCTGCAGCAGCCGGGAGCTGCGGCTGAAGGTCCTGCTGCACTCGCTGCACGCATAAGGCCGCTCGTGGGTGTGGACGCGGTGGTGGGCAGCCAGCTGCGTGCTCTGCCGGAAGGCCTTGCCGCACTCGCTGCACTGGAACGGCTTCTCCTCGGTGTGGATCAGCTGGTGCCGCAGCAGGATGGAGCTCTGCTTGAAGGCCTTCCCGCACTCCGTGCACTGGAAGGGCTTGGCGCCAGTGTGGATGATCTGGTGCCTGAGCAGCAGGGAGTTGTATCTGAACGCTTTGCCGCACGCGCACCTGTAGCGTGGAGCAGTACTCCCTATGGGCCGGCCCAGGGCCTCCTGCAGAACCCCTGGGGAGGCGCTGCGCTCCGGAGCCCCGGGGCTGGGGGTTTGCTTCTCTGACCCGTCCTCAGGACCACTACGCGGGTGGGGTGGTGCGGGGTCCTCCTCAGGCAGGCACCCCCACACCGTGCCCGAGCGTCCTGCCTGCCTGGAAAGCTTTCTCTGCAGAGGAGAGTCCATGATCCCGGGCTCCATCCTGGAATCTGAGAGAAGGAACAGAAAATGGAAGGACGACCCAGCCTCTACACTCACAAACGCACTTACTGTTTGAAGACAGAACCTTTCTAATGCCAAGTCTTCCCCGAACACCCAGGTTTACTGAGGTATAAACGACAAATACAACTTGTATACAGGAGGCTGAGGCAGCAGAATTGCTTGAACCCGGGAGCCTGAGGTTGCAGTGAGCTGAGATCGAGCCACTGTACTCCAGCCTGGGCAAAACAGTGAGACTGTCTCAAAAAACAAAACAAAACAAAACAAAAACAAAACAAAACCCCAAGGCCATGCCTGGTGGCTCATGCCTGTAATCCCAGCACTTTGAGAGGCTGAGGTGGGTCCATCAACTGAGGTCAGGAATTCAAGACCAGCCTGACCCATATGATGAAACCCCAGCTCTACTAAAAAATTACAAAAACTAGCCAGGTGTGATGCCGTGTGTCTGTAGTCCCAGCCACTCAGGATGCTGAGGCAGGAGAATCACTTGAACCCAGGAGGTGGAGGCTGCAGTAGGCCGAGATTGCGCCACTGCACTCCAGCCTGAGAGAAAGAGCGAGACTCCGTCTCAAAAAACAAAAAAAAACAAAAAACAAAACTTGCATATACTTTTGTTGCATACTTTTGTGTATACTTGCACATACACCATGATTCAATAAATACCTACACTGAAATGATACCACAATCAAGTGAAGACAGTCTTTGTTAGAGGTGTAGGGAGGTTTGAGAAATTATTGCCAGAAGTTTTAAAATCAGGGTTTAGGCTGGGCACAGTGGCTCACGCCTGTAATCCAGCACTTCGGGAGGCTGAGGCGGGCAGATCACCTGAGGTCAGGAGTTAGGAGAGACTAACCTGGGCAACATGGTCAAAACCCATCTCTCTTAAAAATATGAAAATTAAGGCCGGGCGCGGTGGCTCACGCCTGTAATCCTAGCACTTTGGGAGGCCGAGACGGGTAGATCACCAGGTCAAGAGATTGAGACCATCCTGGTCAATGTGGTGAAATCCCATCTCTACTAAAAATACAAAAATTAGCTGGGCATGGTGGCGCGTGCCTGTAGTCCCAGCTACTCAGGAGGCTGAGGCAGGAGAATTGCCTGAACCCAGGAGGCGGAGGTTGCGGTGAGCCGAGATCGCGCCATGGCACTCCAGCTTGGGTAACGAGCGAAACTCCGTCTCAAAAAAAAAAAAAAAAAAAATAGAAAAAAGAAAATTAGCCGGGCGTGGTGGTGGGCACCTATAATCCCAGCTACTTGGGAGGCTGAGGCAGGAGAATCACTTGAACCTGAGAGGCGGAGGTTGCAGTGAGCTGAAACTGGGCCAATGCATGCCAGCCTGGGCAACAAGAGCAAAACTCCATCTCAAAATAATTAAATAAAAATAAAATCAGAATTCAGGTGAGAAGGGAACAAAAAGGCTATTAATGGCTGCAGCACTGTGGCAGGCTGGCTCAGGGGGAGCCCACAGGAGAGGCCCAAGGTCTGGCAGGGAAGACAGGTTGCACCTCATCCCACAGCCACGTTCTTTACTCCTCTCTCCTTCAGAGTTCACCCAGGGTTCATTCACTCAGCACGCATGTCTGCGCAGGTGCCTAGAGGAGGTGCCTGCACAGACCTCTAGGACTGGGGGCTCCTCCCCAGCTCAAGGTGCTTTCTGCAGCCTCCACTGCCCTGAGTTCAGTCACTGGCACGTGGGTCATGAGGAACTGAGAAAATCAAAGCTACCCAAGGGAAGTACCCACTGTGTGCACAGACCAGGCCCCTGACACCTTGGGGACACCAAGGTAGAAAACTAATGCACTTGGATCTTCATGCTTAAGATACTTTTGACCTCAGAACTACAAGCAAGGCATTTAGCAGTAAATCTGGCCCTGCTGTGAGGAGCCAAACACACACAGCTCCCACTGTCAAACAGGGGACCTGCACAGAGCTGCACAGAGGCCAGGCCACACTGGCAGCCACACAACATGCCCTGCAGTGTGGCAGCTGCCCAGGCCTTCCACTCACCTGTGCACAGGCTGGTTTTGACCCCTCTCTGTTGAGCCACCTGCAGAATCAAGGCCCCTGGCTCCTCTCCTTGCTCCAGGAGGGAGATCAGTGCTGGTTTGGCAACAAGAAAGCCTAAGCTCAGAGAGGGAAAGCAGCAGGTGTCAGTGCAGAAGGGAGGAAGGATGCCTGGGTGCCCGGTTGGAGGCCACTGGGAGCACAAGGGCTTGGAGTGGGTGCAGGAACATCCACTATCCCATAAGGGGGCAGCTAGGTGGCCGACGGGAGGTGGGGGGGCCTGCCCCAGGAGGGAACTAAGGCTGGGTAGTAGGTGCCCAGCAGGAAGCAGAGAGGGGCTCCTTGGGGAGCCTCCAGCTTCCCCTCAAAAATGTGTCAGACTGCGAATCTGAAATGGAACCAACTTCCCTTTGAACCTAACATAGAAGCACCTCCCGGCCCCAGGACCAAAGGCTGAAGCCCTCACCTAGAGAGGCCAAGTTCCTATAGTTCTCCAGCATCACGTCCCTGTAGAGCACCTGCTGGTTGGGGTCCAGGCAACTCCACTCTATCCTCGTGAAGTACACAGCCACATCCTCGAACACAACAGCCTCCTGCAACCACATAGTCTGCTATCCAGACAGCCAAGGGCTCAGCGAGAACCCAGCAGATAAGGAACATCTGGGTATCTGCTAGAGGCCTCTCTCCTCGCTGGGCATTGCTGCGTCCACAGGGCCCAGCAGAGACAGCCCAACACCCCCTGAATGAGCGGCTTCGTCCTCAGCAGAAACCCCAGAGAGGAAGAGGGGAAAACTGAATTTGGGGGAGGGAGAGAAAGAGTTACCAGGAGGCCGGGCGCGGTGGCTCAAGCCTGTAATCCCAGCACTTTGGGAGGCCGAGGCGGGTGGATCACGAGGTCGAGAGATCGAGACCAACCTGGTCAACATGGTGAAACCCCGTCTCTACTAAAAATACAAAAAATTAGCTGGGCATGGTGGTGCGTGCCTGTAATCCCAGCTACTCAGGAGGCTGAGGCAGGAGAATTGCCTGAACCCAGGAGGCGGAGGTTGCGGTGAGCTGAGATCGCGCCATTGCACTCCAGCCTGGGTAACAAGAGCGAAACTCCGTCTCAAAAAAAAAAAAAAAAGAGTTACCAGGAAAGAGGTCCCAACCTTGGCCTCACCCCTCTCCACAGGCTATCAGGGGTTAGGGGAAGGAGCGCCTGCACTGTGGGGCCGTCCCCACCCTCTGGGTCTCAATTTCCAACACCAGCAGCAAGTCAGCATCAGGAGAGGGGGGGTGGGCTGACTATTCACACCAGGAAGGAGACAGGCACTGGGAAAGGACAGAGACCCTGCCCTCAGTGGCTGAGCACAGAAGCTCAGGGGCCCCAGGAAGCCCACTTCTGCCCAAAGCCAGGAAGGATTCAGTAGAGCCATGTGTGAGGCCTGACCATAGAGGAAGGAGGCCGTCCTTGGCTTGCAGACTCCATCTTGTCATGAGGGTGGGTGTGAGGCTCCCTGGAAGGTTCTCAGAGCTGAAAAGCTGAGGCTGGGGCGAAGCAGGCTCCTGGGGCGGCAGACAGGCTCAGAGGGGGTGCTCACCTGGGGTCCAGGCATCGGAAGTGCCATCACCATTCCAGGGTACCCTTTGTGGAGAAGCAGGTGCTAGAGACAGTGCATGCTGAGGGAACATACAGCAGTAAGTGGAAGGGGTCCAGGCCGAAAAGGCCCCTCCAGATCCAGAAGGGAGCAGGAGAGGGTGAGATGCTGCAGCAACTACACCAGCCACCTCCTTTATGTCTCAAGGAGAAGCTGCAACCAAGACCTGCCCACCCGCTCCTTTGTTTGCTGCCTGTCACCTTCCAGAGAGGCCTTCCGTGACCACCCTTTTTAAAACTGCCACTCCCCTGCTGCCTGGTAATTCCTTATCCTCACTCTTTGTTTTATTTTTCTCCAGAGCACTATGCCATCTGACGTAAGACAAGTTAAACTCCGTAAGACAAGTTAAACTCCGTGCTCCTTAACTGCCTTCTCCAATTAGACAAGGCCTATGGTCTGTACCTCTGGGGCCTGAGGAAGGGTGTGGCACACAGCAAGTGCTCAGAAAGGATTTATGAAATGAACAAAGGGATCCCTGACAATGGGTAACTCTGCAACCAATAAAAACATGTTATGGGAACATCAGAAAACAATCTTGCCCCGGGCGCGGTGGCTCAAGCCTGTAATCCCAGCACTTTGGGAGGCTGAGGCGGGTGGATCACGAGGTCGAGAGATCGAGACCATCCTGGTCAACGTGGTGAAACCCCGTCTCTACTAAAAATAAAAAAAATTAGCTGGGCATGGTGGCGCGTGCCTGTAATCCCAGCTACTCAGGAGGCTGAGGCAGAATTGCCTGAACCCAGGAGGCTGAGGTTGCGGTGAGCCGAGATCGCGCCATTGCACTCCAGCCTGGGTAACAAGAGCGAAACTCCGTCTCAAAAAAAAAAAAAAAAAAATTCTTGCATTTTGCTACATGAAACAAGCAGACTAACCAGAAAAAAAAACCTGGTAGCATAAAAGCCTAGTTATCTCTGGGTCATAGAATTACCGATGGTTCCTGTTTTTCTCCTATTTTTCTTTTCTTTTTTTTGAGACAGGGTCTCGCTGGAGTGCAGTGGTGTGATCTCGGCTCACTGCAGCCTCAACTTCCTGGGCTCAAACAATTCCCGTACCTCAGCCTCCTGAGTAGCTAGAACTACAGGTGCATGCCACCACACCCAGCTTTTTTTTTTTTTTTTTTTTTTTTTTTTTTTTTTTTTAACTATTACAAAAGTTTATTTAACAAAAAGTCAGCCGGGCGCGGTGGCTCAAGCCTGTCATCCCAGCACTTTGGGAGGCCGAGGCGGGCGGATCACGAGGTCAAGAGATCGAGACCATCCTGGTCAACACGGTGAAACCCCGTCTCTACTAAAGATACAAAAAATTAGCTGGGCATGGTGGCACGTGCCTGTAATCCCAGCTACTCAGGAGGCTGAGGCAGGAGAATTGCTTAAACCCAGGAGGCGGAGGTTGCGGTGAGCTGAGATCGCGCCATTGCACTCCAGCCTGGGTAACAAGAGCGAAACTCCGTCTCAAAAAAAAAAAAAAAAAAAAAAAGTCTAGGCCGGGGCAGGGCGCAGTGGCTCAAGCCTGTAATCCCAGCACTTTGGGAGGCCGAGGCGGGTGGATCACGAGGTCGAGAGATCGAGACCATCCTGGTCAACATGGTGAAACCCCGTCTCTACTAAAAATTAGCTGGGCATGGTGGCGCGTGCCTGTAATCCCAGCTACTCAGGAGGCTGAGGCAGGAGAATTGCCTGAACCCAGGAGGCGGAGGTTGCGGTGAGCCTAGAACGCGCCATTGCATTCCAGCCTGGGTAACAAAAGCTAAACTCCATCTCAAAAAAAAAAAACAAAAAAAGTCTAGGCCGGGTGTGGTGGCTCACACCTGTAATCCAAGCACTTTGGAGGCCAAGGCAGGCGGATCACCTGAGGTTTGGAGTTCAAGACCAGCCTGACTAACATGATGAAACCCCATCTTAAAAAAAACAAAACAGTCTAATATGAAATGTACATGACCTAATTTTCACATCATAGTAAAACAGGCCCTATGGAGAGAGTACATGGGTTTCTCTGCTGAACAGCCATTATTTATACTGGTTCCAAGGCTTAGCATGACGATACTATTTCCTTGTGTTACCACCATCCCAGTATTGTTCTGCTGCCCACTAGCTGCCATCTCCACACATTCTTCAATCACGAGATTCATAAAGGGATCAAATCCCCACAATATTCCTTGGACATGTCTGCCACCATTTAATTTCAATGATAACTTCTTGTCCATAAATTTTTTCAACTTGGGAGAGTGAGCTTTGCTCATCATGGCTACTTCGCAGGCTCACAGATGCTTTGGAACGACCCAGCTAATTTTTTAAAATTTTATTACAGATGAGGTCTCACTATGTTGCCCAGGCTGGTCTTGAATTCCTGGACTCAAGTGATCCTCCTGCCTCAGTCTCCCGAAGTTCTGGGATTACAGGTGTGAGCTACTGCATCCAGCCTCTGTTTTTCTAATTTAAGTTTTGTTTTGTTTTATTTTTGTTTTTTGAGACTGAATCTCCCTCTTGCTGCCCAAATCAGAGTGCAATGGTGTGACCTCGGCCATCCTAGGAGGATCCCTTAAGCCCAGGAGGCAGAGGTTGCAGTGAACTGAGATCATGCCACCACACTCCAGTCTGGGAGACAGAGCAAGACCCTGTCTCAAACAAAACAAAACAGTAATTTTGCTCTAACCAGACGTATACAGAGTAGGCATGAGGCCCTGGTCTCCTCACTCTTTCCCTTCAACAGACACTTGAGCCCTTGGAGTGAAGGTCTCTGGGGGCATCCTTTTCTGCAGAGCTGGAGCTCTCTAAGTAGCTGCCACTTTGTAAAGAGACATTTCCCATTAGGCATCAGTTGACAAAAAGTGTGTGTGTTGAGAGGCTGGGCATGGTGGCTAATGCCTGTAATTCCAGCACTTTAGAATGAGAAGGGTAGATCATTTGAAGTCAGGAGTTTTAGACCAGCCTGGCCATGGGGAAACATGGGGAAACCCCTTCTCTACTAAGTATACAAAAATTAGCCGGGTGTGCTGGTACATGCCTGTAATCCCAGCTACTTGAGAGGCTGAGGCAGGAGAACTGCTTGAACCCAGGAGGCAGAGGTTGCATTGATCCAAGATTGTGCCACTACGCTCCAGCCTGGGTGACAGAGTGAGGCTCTCTCCCAAAATAAGTAATAATAAAAAATAAAATGTGCGTTTAGAAGCAGGACGGCCGCTTAGTCACAATGCTGTGAAGTGGTATTTGGCAGCAGAGTCCTTTTGACATGTTAGGGTATGAAGGGTGACGGGGGAAGGACAGACAGACTCGTGAGTCACCCATGAATGAAGAGCTCGGACTGCAAACGCATGGAAAAACAGAGCCCCCACTCGACGTCTGTCCAGGGCAGTCTGTGGCAGGACCTGCCTGGGCGAGTGCGATCGCCACATAGCTTGTCTTCACCTCACCAAGGCAACCAGGGTATCTCAGGGCACGAGGCTGCCAGAAGACTTGACCCTCGGACTCCTCCACACACGCCGCCCTCCACCTGGGACCAGGGTTGGACGAGGACTAGGAGGGGGTGAGTTACCATTGTTGTTCTTTCTTTGCTCACGTCTGGGGAGTGCATGCCCCGGTTAGAAGGTAAAAAAACAAAAAACAAAAAACAAAAACAAAAAACCCTGCTTTTAGTTCTGTCTTTGGAATGAGGAAATGAATCTTCACAGTCAGATTAAGCCGCTGGTCGTCGCGCAGTGACAGGCTGTTGCTTCGGGTGCTGAGGGAGAACAGGTCCGGGGAGGAGGGTGCTCGTGCAGACGGAGGACCACGAGGAACGCGGCTGGGGTCCGGAAGACCAGGAGGCGTCGCCTCCGCCCCACGCGCAGTAACCGCGCTTCCTCGGGGGCCCGGGCACCCGGCTGGCCGCGCCGCAGGTTCGGCGAGTCGGCCCTCCGCGGAGCCGCCCTGGCCGCCCACGCCGCCCTCTCACCACCTCATCTCCTTGGTTTCCGCCGCGCGTGGCGCTGGGCAAGCCCAGAAGTCACCGCGCTGCGCTTCTGCCCGTTACGCTAACGTCCCACCTCCGCTACGATCCACGCCCCGGCCCGCGGAGACGGCGACACTGCGCGGCGTGGACGGAGGTCACCGGGAGGAGCCCGCCGGCGGGAGGAGGCCTCGCGGCACGGCCCGCGGCTCCCCGGAGCAGCCCCGCCTCGCCAGGCCTCCCGCCCGCGGCCTCGTCTCTGCGCAGCGGTCCGGGCCGGCGAAGCGGGTCTGGGGACCCCGCCGCACGCCGCAGACCGCAGCCGGCACGGACCGGGGCGCGGGACCCAAGGCGGGCGGAGGCGGCGGTGCCGGCCGCGGGTCCGCTCCCTGCCGAGCTCCGCTCCGCCTCTGCCGGGCCGGGCTCCGAGGACGCCGCGCCTCCCTCCCGGTCCCCGCCCCGCAGGCGGAGCCGACTCACCCAGAGCCGCCCGGACAGCGCGAGGAGGAGCGCAGGGCGCCGGACGCTCAGGCTCCGGTTCCGGCCCCGCCCCCGGAAGCGGCCGCCGCGCCGCTCTGGGAGGCCCGGAGGACCGCGCGCCTCGATGGCGCTCGAGGTCGGACGCCTTCTGCCTCCCGCCGCGCGGCCGTCGCCCGGGCTGCCGCTGGGGGCGCGCGTGGCGGGTTCCGGGCGAGACCGGGTGTCAGCCCCGGGCCGACGGGCGCGGGAGGGCGGAGGCGTTCCCGGCACTCCGTTTCCCCCCGGACCTGGGCGGGCTGCGGGGGTTGGGGCGCGGGGCGCGGGATCCACTCCTGGACCCGCAGGAACGTCGGAGCGGCGGCGTCGGGCCGGGCCGGTCTCTTATGTAAATGTACGACATTGCTTGCCTGACGTTTCTTTTTTTTGTTTTGTTTTTTTTCAGATGGAGTCTCGCTGTCGCCGAGGCTGGAGTGCAGTGGCGTGATCTCAGCTCAAACGATTCTCCTGCCTCAGCCTCCCGAGTAGCTGGGATTACAGGCGCCCACCACCACGCCGGCTAATTTTTGTGTTTTTAGTAGAGGCGGGGTGTCACCCTGTTGGCCAGGCTGGTCTTGAACTTGTGACCTTGGATGATCCACCACCTCTGCCTCCCAAAGTGCTGGGATGACAGGCGTGAGCCACCGCACCCGGCCAGTTTCTGGAATCTTGAAGTGTCTCTGCTGCTCCCTCTGAGCACTCTCAGACCATGTCTCCTGTCTGAACCCAAGGGGGGCCACTCCGTGACTTCTAACAGCCCTGTGATTTTTATAAACACATGTGTATGCCCTTTGTATTTGCTAATTTAATTCATGATGATCCTATCAAAATACTACTGTTCCCATACTAAAATGAGTAGAGCATAGTGTCCCTGTTATTTACCAAGGCTTCTTTCCTTTTTTTTTTTTGAGACAAGAGTTTTGCTCTCGGCCGGGCGCGGTGGCTCAAGCCTGTAATCCCAGCACTTTGGGAGGCCGAGGCGGGTGGATCACAAGGTCAAGAGATCGAGACCATCCTGGTTAACATGGTGAAACCCCGTCTCTACTAAAAATACAAAAAAACTAGCTGGGCATGGTGGTGCGTGCCTGTAATCCCAGCTACTCAGGAGGCTGAGGCAGGAGAATTGCCTGAACCCAGGAGGCGGAGGTTGCGGTGAGCCGAGATCGCGCCATTGCACTCCAGCCTGGGTAACAAGAGCGAAACTCCGTCTCAAAAAAAAAGAAAAAAAAAAAGAGTTTTGCTCTCGTTGCCCAGGCTGGAGTACAGTGGTTCGATCTCTTGCCTCAGATCTCAAGCTAGAGATGGGGTTTCTCCATGGTCAGGCTGGTCTCAAACTCCTGACCTCAGGTGATCTGCCCACCTGTAATCCCAGCACTGTAGAATTCCAGGCATGAGCCAATGCGCCTGGCCAAGGTCTCATCTCTTAATTAACAGAGCTGGGATCCAACCCACAGATCTGGCTCCAAATAATTCTTTTCTTTTTTTTTTTAATTGAATAATTTTTTTCAAGTCACATATTCTTTTTTTTTTTTTGAGACGGAGTTTCGCTCTTGTTACCCAGGCTGGAGTGCAATGGCGCGATCTCGGCTCACCGCAACGTCCGCCTCCTGGGTTCAGGCAATTCTCCTGCCTCAGCCTCCTGAGTAGCTGGGATTACAGACACACGCCACCATGCCCAGCTAATTTTTTTTGTATTTTTAGTAGAGACGGGGTTTTCACCATGTTGACCAGGATGGTCTCGATCTCTTGACCTTGTGATCCACCCGCCTCGGCCTCCCAAAGTGCTGGGATTACAGGCTTGAGCCACCGCGCCCGGCGGAAATAAAGAATTTCTAAGAATAAACTTTGAAAAGCAGGTTACAGGTGACTTCAGATGGCCCAAGAGGCCAGGCCTCCAGAACTAGCAGAGGCACTGTGTGGGGGAGGGCCTAATCCTGGCCCAAGAAAGATGGCTCCACCCCAGAAGGCTGGAAAACCCCATGTCCAGTGCTTGCTGCCTTGCCTAGGGTGGCTGTCAAGTGACCCAGAACTGCAGAGCCTTGCTGTGTGCCAGGCTGGGTGGCCTCACGTGAGGAATAAGGCCCAGTGATACAGTTTTCAGGACTGGGGTGGATGCTGGCAGGGCCATGTCTCTTCGAGGCTTAAAGTGGCCTGGTCAGCCTCCTGGCTACACCTAAGGTCCTGGTAGCTGCATGTCATCACAGAGACCCATGAGACAGCCTCTGTGTCCGAGCACTCGTCTCACCTCTATCCCACACCCAACTCTCCTGATCTTCTGGAGTAGAAGCAGATTTGTTCAGGAGTGACGCACAGGCCGAGCCCGTGGGCCAGTTTTGGGCTGACCCCAGGACCCCTCACCCTACTGCTGAGGTCCAGCTATGAAAATATTTTATTAGGTCAAACTACTTGCTATGAAAATGCTTTAAAATGCAGCAGGAGATGTAAAGACTCAAAGAAGTGTGTAGTGACAACGGCTATCACAACATGCTAAAAAAAATCCACACTGCTTCCCCCTTTACCTAGAAAAGGAAGCTTCTAGGCTACCTCCTCCTCCTCCGCACACTCCTCAAACTCCTCCTCCTCAGCTGTGGCGTCTTGGCATTGCTGGTATTCTGACACCAGGTCATTCAGGTTGCTCTCGGCCTCGGTGAACTCCATCTCATCCATGCCCTCGCCCGTGTACCAGTGCAGGAAGGCCTTGCGCCTGAACATAGCTGTAAACTGCTCAGAGATGCGTTTGAAGAGCTCTTGGATCGCTGTGTTGTTACCAATGAAGGTGGCCGACATTTTTAGCCCCCGGGGTGGGATGTCACAGACGGCTGTTTTCACGTTGTGAGGGAGCCATTCAGCAAAGTAGCTGCTGTTCTTATTTTGAATGTTGAACATTTGCTCATCCACCTCCCTCATGGACATGCGACCTCTAAAAATGGCAGCCACGGTTAGGTAGCGGCCATGACGGGGGTCACAGGCGGCCATCATATTCTTAGCATCAAAGAGCTGCTGAGTGAGCTCAGCCACGGTCAGGGCCCGGTACTGCTGGCTGCCCCGGCTGGTCAGCGGGGCAAAGCCGGGCATGAAGAAGTGCAGCCGGGGAAATGGAACCATGTTCACCGCCAGCTTCCGCAGGTCGGTGTTCAGCTGGCCCGGGAAGCGCAGGCACGTGGTGACCCCACTCATGGTAGCAGACACCAGGTGATTCAGGTCACCGTAGGCGGGTGTGGTCAGTTTTAAGGTCCTGGAACAGATGTTACAGAGTGCTTCGTTATCCTTTTCTACGAGCTGGTGGACGGAGAGGGTGGCCCTGCTGTGGGCTGAGCTGCTTCCTCAGTCCCCACCTGGCAGCCAGCTCCTCCTCGATCCCCTGCCGACCCTAGGGAGGGCCTCCTGCGGGAGCCCCTCCTCTCCCCTGCGAGCAGCAGCGGCGACAGGACACCCCTTCCACCCTCTCCCGTCTCTTTCTCCTGCCCGCTGGGCCCCCGCCCTCACCTCCTTGCTGCCTCCCGATCCACGGCCCCGCCTGTGCTGGGCAGTGCCCACGCAGCCAAGGACTCTCCCGAACCACCTCTTCCCCGCCCCCGGCCTCGGGGTCTCGCCCGTTAGGGGCCCGATTCTGCGAAGCTCCTCTCCACAGCATTTGCCGCTGGACGCCTCCAGCCAGGCTCTTTCCAGCTGCGGAGGCCCCCACAGCCCCTCCAGCCGCCTCTCGCACAGGGTTCTGTCTCCGCAGCACGTGACCCAGTCCCGCCCCTTCCTCGCCCTTGGGACCCCACCACCTGGCCTCCCCACTTTTGGCAGGGATCCCCGGGCTCCTCTCCTCGACGTCCGACCTCTCCAAGGGCCTGCAGTGGACACGGTCCCCGCGTCGGGGAGCGCCCGTTCATCAGGGAGACGGACTTTTTTTTTTTTTTTTTTTGAGACGGAGTTTCGCTCTTGTTGCCCAGGCTGGAGTGCAATGGTGCAATCTCGGCTCACCGCAACCTCCGCCTCCTGGGTTCAGGCAATTCTCCTGCCTCAGCCTCCTGAGTAGCTGGGATTACAGGCACGCGCCGCCATGCCCAGCTAATTTTTGTATTTTTAGTAGAGACGGGGTTTCACTATGTTGACCAGGATGGTCTCGATCTCTTGACCTCGTGATCCACCCGCCTCGGCCTCCCAAAGTGCTGGGATTACAGGCTGGAGCCACCGCGCCCGGCTAGACGGACATTTGCCACCTGCAAACCACGACGTTCCCCGAGTGGGTCCGCGCGTCTCCCCTGCCAGTCTCCTGCTCTGCACCAGCAGGAACCCCCGCAGCCTACACGGAAGCCCGGACCCCGCAGCCCGGAGTGGGCCGCGCTGTGACACCCGAGACAGGCCGCTCAGAGAACACTTGTCCTTCTCCAGAGCCCTGTGAAGACCCGGCACTCCTTCGCCCCGCTGGGCCCGCGCACACCAGGACTCCCGCTTGCGCCTGGTCGGGGGCCCAGGCGGCGAAGTAGGCGGGGGCTGCGGCCGCTGGTGACTACAAGCCCCGGCGTGCACCGCGCTCGGCCGGCCGTGGCGCGCCCGGAAGGTGTCGCGGCTCTGGGCCCCGCCCCGGAAGATAAGGCGGCTCGCCCACGCCGTGTTTCCTCTTTCGGCCACGCTCGGGAGCAGGTAGGTTGTGCCTCCGGCCCTGCCGCATCGGCACCATCCGCCGCCATCCTCCTCCCTGAGGCGCGCGGAGACGCAGGCCGGTGTTCCTGGGAGGATGCCAACGCGCGCGCCCGCGGAGAGGGTAGCGGGCGGTGGGCGCGACGGCCTCGGGGACGGGGTCCCGGAAAGCCGGGCTGGTAGGGGTGCCCGGGCCGCCCGGACGCGCTAACTCAGCCGCCCCCAGGACCCGTCGCCATGGGCCGCGTAATCCGTGGACAGCGGAAGGGTGCCGGGTCTGTGTTCCGCGCGCACGTGAAGCACCGTAAGGGCGCCGCGCGCCTGCGCGCAGTGGACTTCGCCGAGCGGCACGGCTACATCAAGGGCATCGTGAAGGTGCGGAGCGGCGGCCGGGGCGGGGCGGGGCGGGAGGGGACGGGACCCCCGGCCGCGGCGCCACACTCACCCCGCCTCGGCCCGCAGGACATCATCCACGACCCGGGCCGCGGCGCGCCTCTCGCCAAGGTGGTCTTCCGGGACCCGTACCGGTTTAAGAAGCGGACGGAGCTGTTCATTGCCGCCGAGGGCATTCATACGGGCCAGTTTGTGTATTGCGGCAAGAAGGGTTAGCATCGCGGCGGGGAAGGAAGGTCGGGGTGGGGACGAAAGGAGGGGTTCGAGGAGTTAAAGCCCTAAGCCTGTGTAGGAGCCTCCCAGGTGAGAGCGTCAGGCGGGGACATCCGCGTGGCCTGTACGTGGTGGGGGTCCGGAGAGTTGTACCGGGAGGCTAGATGTTGAATGCTGTGCTCGCAACTTAGCGGGGCTGCCCAGAGAGTGGGTTCGCATTGCCTCTTACTCCGCTGACCGCCTGATGCTGCTTCCCCTTGCAGCACAGCTCAACATTGGCAATGTGCTCCCTGTGGGCACCATGCCCGAGGGTACGATCGTGTGCTGCCTGGAGGAGAAGCCTGGAGACCGTGGCAAGCTGGCCCGGGCATCAGGGAACTATGCCACCGTTATCTCTCACAATCCTGAGACCAAGAAGACCCGCGTGAAGCTGCCCTCTGGCTCCAAGAAGGTTATCTCCTCAGCCAACAGAGCTGTGGTTGGTGAGTACCAGGCAGCAGTCGGATGCCGAGCGCTGTGAATGAACAGACTGTGAGCGCCTGTGGACAGCACTGGCTAGACCTGGTTCCTGGAATTCGATTATCCATTGTTCTAAAACTTGTCATAACTAAAGTGGACACAACAGTACCTGCTTTACTATTGTGGAGTTGAATGAGATTGGGATTAAGTCACCTGGGGCTTGAATTAAACTCTCGCATAGTTTAGGCTTCCTGATTGCTGTACTTGCCTTCAGTTGGTTAACAGCATTTTCAGAGAAGGTAGGGAGAGATTTGTGACTTTCTCAAAGACACCTACTAAGTGAAAATGGATTTGAGTCTAGGTTAACTCACTCCATTTTGGGAACATCTCGGAATCTTTGTGATGAATGGCTTTGAGGGTGTGTTCCAGGAATAAGCAAAGCTGAGATGGAACAGGCCGGATCAAATGTCCTGTGTCAGGTTGAGTGACCTGCGTGATGTCTTAAACATGGTGAGAGAGGTGCTTCCCTGTGCTTGGAGATCAGCCAGTGTTCTAGGTGATACAGGTGAAGGCCTTGGTTTGCCTGCCCAAAGTGGATTGAAGAACCTGGATGTCAGTTAACAAGGTGCAAGGGGCTAAGGAGACGAGTGGGCTTATTTTTTTGTTGGGTAGTTGGATGCAGTGTTGTGAAGGTGCGTGACAGGAGATTGAGGGGAGGTGGGGATGCTGGAAAGGACCCGGCAGGGGGTGGTCTGACTGACTGGAGGTTCCCTAAGGTACCTGATCTCCCTTACAGGTGTGGTGGCTGGAGGTGGCCGAATTGACAAACCCATCTTGAAGGCTGGCCGGGCCTACCACAAATACAAGGCAAAGAGGAACTGCTGGCCACGAGTACGGGGTGTGGCCATGAATGTAAGTAACCCAGAAATGCAGGATTGAGTATTCAAGGTACAGTGGCCACACAGTTGGGTAGACAAGTTCTATTCACAGCTGTCCCTGCAGGAGGGGGATCTGCAGTGGGAGGTACAGTGGGTCATGGTTTGTAGTCACAGGACTGTTGATCCTGCTCAAGCCCTCCTGAAGGAGGTTGGCTCACCCTCATTCTAAAGCCATCCTCTGCCTGCAGCCTGTGGAGCATCCTTTTGGTGGTGGCAACCACCAGCACATTGGCAAGCCCTCCACCATCCGCAGAGATGCCCCTGCTGGCCGCAAAGTGGGTCTCATTGCTGCCCGTCGGACTGGACGTCTCCGGGGAACCAAGACTGTGCAGGAGAAAGAGAACTAGTGCTGAGGGGCTCAATAAAGCTTGTCTTTATGCCACCAGGCTGTGCCACCCCCATGTTTTCAACGGGAGGCTACTCTGCTGATGGGATTTCTGTGGGATTCCCCTGGTTGGTACAGGGAGCAAGGTAGACTACTGGAGTAGACCACCAGTGAGCGGTGGAAACTTAGAAGGGAAGGTCTACGACTAGAAACAAGGACAGGTACCCTGGGTAAGATCCTGGCTTCCCCACAGAGGGGGCCAAGACCGTGGCTCCCAGGACCTGACACTTAAGTGGGTGACTCGGTCCCATGGACTGCAGTGCTTGGATAGAAGCGCTCATTTTACTTATGAAGAAACTGAGAAATGGGAAACAATCGGACGCAATTGTGAGCCTGGTGTCTGGACCACACCCTCACTCTGCCAGCACCTAATCCAGGGTCTTTTAGCCGCACCCTTCCCCTCCAAACTGGGTACAGCCCTGCTGATGTCAGTGTGTTTTTGCAAAGTCACTGCCGGGGATTCCTGGCTTGCAGGTGTCTTTGCACAGAGAACTTGGATGGGTCCTAGAGGAACGTGGGACAGACACCCTGTCCACATCCAGGAAGGCCATTCCTAGCCCAGCCTTTCATTCTGTTCTGCAGACCCCTGGGAGCGCCCTGTATGCATTCTCAGCCCGCCATGGTGGGGAATGGTTGCTGACTGGAGGGTTCTGGGTATTTTTTCCTGAGTGGGGCTTCATCCCTTCCTTCATTTTCCAGCCTGATAGTGAGGTTGAAGGTGGTGATTCTCAGTGTGGGGTCCCAGGTCCCTGCTGGGATTGCTGAACAAAGGGATGAATGCGTGCAGTGCGTGTATGGGGATCCCAGACCACCCAGGAGTCCATTCAGCCACCTACCTAGAGCCCTACACTGGACTGAGCTAGCATCAGCTGTAGGACAGTTGGCTCCTTGAGTCCTGGAATGCCACAGCTTTACAGGGCATCTTGCCCCCCCTTCCATGGGGCAGAGAAACTCACCAGGAACAGCCCCCAAACCTGCACGGATTACCTTGTTCTGAGCCCATGGCCTTTCCTTGCTGGTATAACGGCACATACCTTCCGTCTAGCTTTGGTAGTGACAAGTGAGGCCGAGGTGGTGATTCTGAGTGGAGTCAGGTTGGAAGTATCAGGGAAGCCCCCATGCAGTGGGAGGGCAAGTAAACTGGTTTCCATCACAAGGCAGCGTAGAGGGGCTTCCTGTTTGGCCATAGCCCATAGCATCTTGTCCCTTAGCCATGACCGAATGAGGGGTTCCCAGGACAGCATCAGGTGGAAGCTTATTAGCACTTTCACACAAGGAAGCTCCGCCAGCGCATGCAGGAGCTGCACATCGCTGCCCCTAACAACGTTCCCCCGGAGCGAACTGGAGTGGGCAGGGTGAGGCACGGTGCCCTCCCTGTAGACTTGGTTGGAGAGGCAGGTGAGAACAAGACAGCTTAGGTTTGTGTGGGTCACTCCTGGATGACAAGTCCTCACTGGCTTCGCGGTGGCTCCTGGCTGGTTTGCCGTCTCTAGAGTGAACCTTTCCCCCTCATTTCACGATCTTGCTTTCCTCATCCCGTTGGTATGGCCCCACCTGCCTTTGGGCGCCCACCACGCCCGAGAAGCTGGGCTTGTTTCAGACAGGCGCTTGCTGTTCCCAGGCTGGTCTCAAGCCCCTGGTCTCCTGTGGTCCTTCCACTTCAGCTTCTCCTGCCCCCGCAGTAGCTACGGCACCTGGTTTTGATCCCCTGTCATTCGCAGGGCCGGCCCCAGGGTCCCAAGTTATATGTCGAGAAAGAATCCAGGAGGGTGGTGTTTCCTCCTGAAGGATGGGGGGGCATCTGGAAAGAGGGTTTAGGGAAAGCCCTCGATGCTTACCTTGGCCGTGAGCGGCCACTGCTTTTCTGCTCCCTTCTGGGCAGAGCGGAAGCAGGCCTTGGCTGGGGGACAGGCCAGCAGGGCACGTTTGCTCCAGAGGCGGCTCAGGCGCCCGGAAAACTCCACAGCGGACACTGGGCCCCATTGACAGGGGTTAGGGTGCGGGGCCAGGGGCTGAGCCCAAGGCAGCTTCCCGGCCAGCAAGCCTCCTCCCGGCCCTAAGGAGGGTGCAGCCCGCGTGCCTTTCTCTACTGGAAGGGCCTGGCTGGCTGCGGCGCCTTTCGTGCCTCGTTAGAGAGACGACGTCTCAGAAATAGGAGAAACTCGTCTGTTTCCGACTTTGACCATCGCCCCGGTTCTGAGGCTTCGCCTTCGGCCGGTCCGCGGAGACCCGCAGCGGGCCGGGAGGGCGTGCAGCCGAGACGCGGAGGCCCAGCTTCCCAGAGCGGCTCGGGCGGCCCCGGGCGCCGCCGACGTCACTTCCGGGCCGGCTCCGATTGGCGGGGCGGGAGGGCCGGCGGGGCCAGGCGGGGCTGCCGAGCCGCTCGGCGGCGCCGAGGTGAGTGTGAGCCCGGCGGGGCGGGGGCGCGGGCGCGGACCCTCCCGGTCCTCTCGCGGCGCTCCGGGCCGGCGTCGGTCCTGCCGTTTTCACGGACCCGGCCCCACCCCAGGACAAGGCCCCGAGCACGGACCGCGCCTCGCCGCCCTTCCCCGGCCCCGGGGTCGCTCCTCGCGGGGCTCCTTCCGCTCCCCGGCCCCACGCGGGGCCGCCCGCGCCCCTTCCTCCGGGCCCGGCCGCCTCCCACGCCCCGCTCCTGTCGGCGTTCCGGGGGCGGGGCCCGCGCGTCCTCGGTCCTCCCCCCGCCGCCGCCCTCCCGCGGGGCTCCGCCCTCAGCCCCGCCCCCCGCGCCCGGCGGCCGCGGCCTTTGTTTCTCGTTGCCTCCTTCTTTCCCGTTCCTTTCCTCTTCCTCCTTTTCTCTGCTTTCCCCCCGAGACCTAGTCTGGCGCTGTCGCCCGGGGCGGGGTGCCGTGGCGCGACCCCGGCTCAGTGCAGCCTCCGCCTCCCGGGTTCGAGCGATGGCCCTCGACCCCCCGAGCCGCCGGGATGACCGCGCGCGCCCCACGCCCGGCCGGCGACTGCGTTTTCAGTAGATACAGTGTTGACGCATTTGGCCAGGCTGGTCTCAAACTCCGACCGCGAGTGATCCGCCCTCCTCGGCCTCTCGGACTGCTGGGATGCCAGGCGTGAGCCGCCCGCCCGGCCTGACCTCGTTTTCTTCTGTCTGCGTTCCTAATACTGTTTCCGTCTCTTTAAATTTTATATATGACTTATATTGTGGGTATCCTGTATCTGACAGTTTTCTCAGCCTTGTAGCTGTGTTCTGTCTCCATGACATTGATGTCGTTCATTGCTTTGCACCGCTGTGGCTTTGCTGATGGACGATACCCCCAGGCACACGGTAACATTCTTGTGTTTCTTCTTGTGTGCATCAGCAAGGGTCTCCCACTCTCAAACGATCTTCCTACCTACCTTAGCCGACCGAGATTTTCCCTGGGACTACAGGCCCACACCACCATGTCTGGCTAATTTGTGTAGAGCTGGGGTTTCACCATGTTACCCAGGCTGGTTTCCTACTCCTGAGCACAAGCAATCTGCCCATCTTGGCCTCCCAAAGCGCTTACATTACAGGCATGAGCCACCATACCTGGCCTTTTTTCCTTTTTGATGGAATCAAACAATCTTTTTCTTTATAAACTTTTTTTTTTTAAGAAATTTTATTTTTTTTTAACATTTAGGTCTTCAACCTGCCTGAAATATATTTGTGTATCACAGAAGACCGGGAAATAATTTTGTTTTCCAATGGAAAACCAGTTTTGTCAATACCGTTTATTGTCCTTCTTCATTGTCATTAATATTGCAGGTAAACTAAAATATGCATAGATGTCTTCCATTATCTTCCTTTTTTTTTTTTTTTTTTTTTTTGAGACGGAGTTTCACTCTTGTTACCCAGGCTGGAGTGCAATGGCGCGATCTCGGCTCACCGCAACCTCCGCCTCCTGGGTTCAGGCAATTCTCCTACCTCAGCCTCCTGAGTAGCTGGGATTACAGGCACGCGCCACCATGCCCAGCTAATTTTTTTGTATTTTTAGTAGAGACGGGGTTTCACCATGTTGACCGGGATGGTCTCGATCTCTTGACCTCGTGATCCACCCGCCTCGGCCTCCCAAAGTGCTGGGATTACAGGCTTGAGCCACCGTGCCCGGCCATTATCTTCCTTCTTATATTTAAACTTCACTTTCCATTACCATAGCCAAGACTTGATATCTAGTAGGGCACACCCTTGCCTCCTTTGGCTAATCTTAGATCATTACTATTTCGTGTGATATTTGGAGTCATTTTGGTCATATATCATGTCCTGTTGAAGTGTTTATTATAATTGCACAGAATAAATGAACTTGGGGAGAATTGACATCTTTGTTATTGAGCCTCCTATTTAGAAATGTTGTCTGTTTCTCCATAGATCTTTCTAAGGCCTTTCAATAGTTTTATAATGTCTATTACATACATACCTTTTTAAAAGACTCTTAATGTACTGTATAGTTTTTGTAGCTATTGTGAATGGTCAGTTTTCAGTTGCTGATTGCTAACAAATAGGAGTGGTATTAATTATTCTGTATTGACCTTGTATATGGCAATGCTGTTGAATACTGTCATCCCAACAGTGGATTGATACTGTTGGATTTTGTGTAAAATATTTTTATCATTCTCAAAGAATGACAATTTTGTCTTTTTTCTTCTTATCCTTATAGCTTGTATTTCTTTTTCTGTGACTTACTGCATTGGCTAGGAGCTTGAATAGCAGCAGGGAAAGGGAGCATTCCTCTCTTGTCACTGACTCTATTACAAGTGCTTCTAATGTGTCCTCTTAGTGTTGTGAACACAGACTTGAATGCATGGAACCCCAGAGTCCCTGGACCACACTCTGAGAACTATTGCTGTGCCTCCTGGGGTCAAGTGATCCTCCCACCCCAGCCTCCCAAGTAGCTAGGGCTACAGGCATGTACCACCAAGGCCTGCTATATTTTGATATTTTTGATAGAGATGGAGTCTGACTATATTGGCCAGGTGAAGCTTAAACTCCTGGGCTCAAACAATCTTCCTGCCTTGGCCTCCCAAAGTATGGGGATTCCAGGCATGAGCCAACCACACCTGGCCTTTTGTTCTTTAAAAAAAAAAAAAAAAAAAACTATTTAAATTTTTTTTTTTTTTTTTTTTTAGCCTAGGAGCATAGATTCAAGTTGTGCTAAATATACACTCCTTCCTTTTTTTGCTTCTTAGTAGCATTTCCTTTTCTACCTTTCCATCTATTTTCTTTTTGTTGTTATTTTTGAGAGGATCTGGCTCGGGCTCTGTCACCCCAGCTGGAGTGCAATGGTATGATCTCGACTCACTACAGCCTCTGCTTCCTGGGCACAAGCAAATCTCCCACTTCAGCCTCTCAAGTAGCTGAGACTACAACTACATGCCTGGCTAATTTTTATATTTTTTGTAGAGATGGGGTTTTGCCATATTGCGCAGGCTGGTCTTGAACTCCTGGGCTCAAGAGATCCACCCATCTTGGCCTTTCAGACTGCTGAGATTACAGGTGTGAGCCACCGTGCACAGCCCCTTTTCCATCTTTTTTCCTTCCCTTTATTGGATTTGCCGGGTGTTTGTGTACTTTATTAGCATTTTCAAAGAATTACTGTAGAGATTGTTTTCTATTTCTTTAAATTGTATTTTATTTTCTTTCATATTCTTTCTTTGAATTTCTTTCTTTCTTTTTCTTTCTTTCTTTCTTTTCTTTCTTTTTCTTCTTTCTTCTTCTTTTTTGAGACAAAGTCTCACACTGTCGCCCAGACTCACACTTTAGTGCAGTTGTACAATTCAACTCACTGCAACCTCCGCCTCCCTGATTCAAGGAATCCTCCTGCCTCAGCCTCGAAGGTTGCTGGGATTACAGGTTCATGCAACCATGCCCAGCTAAGGTTTTTTTTTTTTTAGACGGTGTTTTGCTCTTGTTGCCCAGGCTGGAGCACAGTGGTATGATCTCAGCTTACTGCAACGTCCACCTCCTGGGTTCAAGCGATTCTCCTGCCTTAGCTTCCCAAGTAGCTGGGATTACAGGCATGCACCACCATGCCCAGCTAATTTTTTGCATTTTTAGTAAAGACAGGGTTTCTCCATGTTGATCAGGCTGGTCTCGAACTCCCTACCTCAGGTGATCCACCAACCTCGACCTCCCAAAGTGCTGGGATTACAGGTGTGAGCTACCACGCCCAGTCTTTTTAAAAATTTTGTTTTATTTTATTGCATTTTAGGTTTTGGGGTACATGTGAAAAACATGCAAAATTGTTGCGTAGGTACACACATGGCAGTGTGATTTGCTGCCTTCCTCCCCATCACCTATATCTGGCACTTCTCCCCGTGCTATCTTCTCCCCAACTCCCCACCACCCCCACTGTCCCTCCCTTATGTCCCCCTGACACACCCCAGTGTGTAGTGCTCCCCTCCCTGTGTCCATGTGTTTTCATTGTTCAATACCCACCTATGAGTGAGAATATGCGGTGTTTGATTTTCTGTTCTTGTGTCAGTTTGCTGAGAATGATGGTTTCCAGGTTCATCCATGTCCCTACAAAGGACACGAACTCATCGTTTTTTATGACTGCATAGTATTCCATGGTGTATATGTGCCACATTTTCCCTGTCCAGTCTATCATCGATGGGCATTTGGGTTGGTTCCAGGTCTTTGCTATTGTAAGCAGTGCTGCAGTGAACATTTGTATGCATGTGTCCTTGTAGTAGAACGATTTATCCTTTGGATATATACCCAGTAATGGGATTGTTGGGTCAAATGGAATTTCTATTTTTAGGTCCTTGAGGAATCACCACACTGTCTTCCACAATGGTTGAACTAATTTACACTCCCACCAACAGTGTCAAAGTGTTCCTATTTCTCCACATCCTCTCCAGCATCTGTTGTCTCCAGATTTTTTTAACGATTGCCATTGTAACTGGCGTGAGATGGTATCTCGATGTAGTTTTGATTTGCATTTCTCTAATGACCGGTGATGATGAGCATTTTTTCATATGTTTGTTGGCGTCATGTATGTCTTCTTTTGTAAAATGTCTGTTTATATCTTTTGCCCACTTTTGAATGGGCTTGTTTGTTTTTTTCTTGTAAATCTGTTTCAGTTCTTTGTAGATCCTGGATATCAGCCCTTTGTCAGATGGGTAGATTGCAAAAATTTTTTCCCGTTCTGTTGGTTGCCGATTCACTGTAATGACTGTTTCTTTTGCTGTGCAGAAGCTGTGGAGTTTGATTAGGTCGCATTTGTCTATTTTGGCTTTTGTTGCCAATGCTTTTGGTGTTGGTCATGAAGTCCTTGCCTATGCCTATGTCCTGAATGGTTTTGCCTAGATTTTCTTCTAGGGTTTTTATGGTGTTAAGGTGTCAGGAAGGGGTCCAGTTTCTGCTTTGTGCACATGGCTAGCCAGTTTTCCCAACACCATTTATTAAACGGAATCCTTTCCCCATTGCTTGTTTTTGTCAGGTTTGTCAAAGATCAGATGGTTGTAGATGTGTGGTGTTGCCTCTGAGGCCTTTGTTCTGTTCCATTGGTCTGTATCTCTGTTTTGGTACCAATACCATGCTGTTTTGATTACTGTAGCCTTTTAGTATAGTTTGAAGTCCGGTAGTGCGATGCCTCCAGTTTGCTTCTTTTTGCTTAGGATTGACTTGGCTATGCGGGCTCTCTTTTGGTCCCATATGAAGTTTAAGGTGTTTTTTCCAGTTCTGTGAAGAAGGTCGTTGGTAGCTTGATGGGGATAGCATTGAAGTTGTAAATTACTTTGGGCAGTATGGCCATTTTCACGATGTTGATTCTTCCTAACCATGAACATGGAATGTTTCTCCATCTGTTTGTGTCCTCTCTTATTTCGTTGAGCAGTGGTTTGTAATTCTCCTTGAAGAGGTCCTTTACGTTCCTTGTTAGTTGTATTCCTAGGTATTTTATTGTCTTTGTAGCAATTGTGAATGGCAGTTCATTCTTGATTTGGCTCTCTTTAAGTCTGTTATTGGTGTATAGGAATGCTTGTGATTTTTGCACATTGATTTTGTATCCTGAGACTTTGCTGAAGTTGCTTATCAGCTTAAGGAGTTTTTGGGCTGAGACGATGGGGTCTTCTACATATACAATCATGTCATCTGCAAATAGAGACAGTTTGATTTCCTCCTTTCCAATTTGGATACCCTTTATTTCTTTTTCTTGCCTGATTGCTCTGGCTAGAACTTGCAATACTATATTGTATAGGAGTGATGAGAGAGGGCATCCTTGTCTAGTGCCACATTTCAAAGGGAATGCTTCCAGTTTTTGCCCATTCAGTATGATATTGGCTATTGGTTTGTCATAGTTTTTATTATTTTGAGATATGTTCCATCAATACCTAGTTTATTGAGGGTTTTTAGCATAAAGGGCTGTTGAATTTTGTCAAAGGTCTTCTCTGCATCAATTGAGATAATCATGTGGTTTTTGTCTTTGGTTCTGTTTATGTGGTGAATTCTGCGTTTATAGACTTGCGTATGTTGAACCAGCCTTGCATCCCCGGGATGAAGCCTGCTTGATCATGGTGGATGAGCTTTTTGATATGCTGTTGCAATCGGTTTGCCAGTATTTTACGGAAGATTTTGCATCTATGTTCATCATGGATATTGCCCTGAAGGTTTCTTTTCTTGTTGAGCAGGCGTCCCCAAACTTTTTACGCAGGGGGCCAGTTCACTGTCCCTCTGACCATTGGAGGGCCGTCACATACTGCGCTCCTCTCACTGACCACCAGTGAAAGAGGTGCCCCTTCCTGAAGTGCGGCGGGGGGGCGGATAAACGGCTTCAGGGGGCTGCATGCAGCCCGCGGGCTGTAGTTTGGGGACGCCTGTTGTTGGGTCTCTGCCGGCTTTTGGTATCAGGATGATGTTGGTCTCATAAAATGATTTGGGAAGGATTCCCTCTTTTTGGATTGTTTGGAATAGTTTCAGAAGGAATGGTACCAGTTCCTCTCTGTATCTGGTAGAATTCGGCTGTGAACCCATCTGTACCTGGGCTTTTTTTTCGGTGGTAGGCTCTTAATTGCTGCCTCAACTTCAGACCTTGTTATTGGTCTATTCAGGGTTTTGACTTCTTCCTGGTTTAGGCTTGGGAGGATGCAAGTGTCCAAGAATTTATTCATTTCTTCTAGGTTTACTGGTTTATGTGCATAGAGTTGTTTGTAATAATCTCTGATGATGGTTTGTATTTCTGTGGAATCTGTGGTGATATCCCCTTTATCGTTTTTTATTATATCTATTTGATTATTCTCTCTTTTCTTTTTTATTAATCTGGCTAGTGGTCTGTCTATTTTGTTGATCTTTTCGAAAAACCAGCTCCTAGATTTATTGATTTTTTTTTGAAGGGTTTTTTGTGTCTCTATCTCCTTCAGTTCTGCTCTGATCTTAGTTATTTCTTGTCTTCTGCTAGGTTTTGAGTTTTTTTTTTTATCTTGGTCCTCTAGCTCTTTCAATTTTGATGATAGGGTGTTTATTTTAGATCTTTCCTTGCTTCTCATGTGGGCATTTATTGCTATATATTTTCCTCTAGACACTGCTTTAAATGTGTCCCAGAGATTCTGGTATGTTGTGTCTTCGGTTCTTGTTGGTTTTGAAGAACATCTTTATTTCTGCCTTCATTTCATTGTTTATCTAGTCGACATTCAAGAGCCCGTTGTTCAGTTTCCATGAAGCTGTGCAGTTCTGAGTTAGTTTCTGAATTCTGAGTTCTAACTTGATTGCACTGTGGTCTGAGAGACTGTTTGTTATGATTTCTGTTCTTTTGCATTTGCTGAGGAGTTATTTGCTTCCAATTATGTGGTCACTTTTAAAGTAGGTGTGATGTGGTGCTGAGAAGAATGTATATTCTGTGGATTTGGGGTGGAGAGTTCTGTAAATGTCTATTAGGTTTGCTTTGTCCAGGTCTGAGTTCAAGTCCTGGATATCCCTGTTAATTTTCTGTCTCATTGATCTAATATTGACAATGGGGTGTTAAAGTCTCCCATTATTATTATTATTATTATTATTATTGAGATGGAGTCTTGCTCTTGTTCCTCAGGATGGAGTGCAGTGGCATGATCTCAGCTCACTGCAGTCTCTGCCTCCTGGGTTCAAGCAATTATCCTGCCCCAACCTCCTGAGTAGCTGAGATTATGGGCACCCGCCACCATGCCTGGCTAATTTTTGTATTTTTAGGAGAGACAGGGTTTCACCATGTTGGTCAGTGTGGTCTCAAACTACTGACCTCAAGTGATCCGTCCACCTCGTTCTCCCAAAGTGCTGGGATTGAGCCTCAGCCTGCGTCTGATTTCCCGTTGAATACTTAGATTATTTATTTCAGTCTTTCCTGTTAAAAATGAGTGTATTAAGGATATACAATTTTCTTTTCTTTTCTTTCTTTTTTTTTTTTTTTGAGACGGAGTTTCGCTCTTGTTACCCAGGCTAGAGTGCAATGGCGCGATCTCGGCTCACCGCAACCTCCGCCTCCTGGGTTCAGGCAATTCTTCTGTCTCAGCCTCCTGAGTAGCTGGGATTATAGGCACGTGCCACCATGCCCAGCTAATTTTTTGTATTTTTGGTAGAAACGGGGTTTCACCATGTTGACCAGGTTGGTCTCGATCTCTCGACCTTGTGATCCACCTGCCTTGGCTTCCCAAAGTGCTGGGATTACAGGCTTGAGCCACCGCGCCCGGCGAGGATATACAATTTTCTTTAGGTAGGCTGGGTTCTATTTCTACTTTAATTTCCATTTCTATACATGTATATATATATATATCTATAATTTGTTTGTTTGTTTGTTTGAGACGGAGTTTCGCTCTTGTTACCCAGGCTGGAGTGCAATGGCGCGATCTCGGCTCACCGCAACCTCCGCCTCCTGGGTTCAGGCAATTCTCCTGCCTCAGCCTCCTGAGTAGCTGGGATTACAGGCACGTGCCACCATGCCCAGCTAATTTCTTGTATTTTTAGTAGAGACAGGGTTTCACTATGTTGGTCAGGATGGTCTCGATCTCTTGACCTTGTGATCCACCCGCCTCGGCCTCCCAAAGTGCTGGGATTACAGGCTTGAGCCACCGCGCCCGGCCCCTGTATATTTTTTTGGAGAGAGAGTAACTTTTCATCTTACGTTTCTAATATAACAACAATATGGGTAGAAACTGTTTTGCCAAATGATATATTCCTTTGGGATTTGGTGAAATTATCTCTGTTGCTTTTTTTTTATTATTATGTTCAGTATGTTGAAAATAACGTGTGTTCTCTATGTTTTAAGCGTGAGATTCTCTACTTGACCCACTTGTTTCTGAGGGAAGTGTGTTAAAAATCTCATTCCAGAGGAGGATTTACCAGTTTTTCCTTGGTAGATCTATACCTGTTTATAATTATTACAGCTTTTTGGTGGACTTTTAGTAATATGCAGTAGTTTTTTAATTCTGATTAGTAAATTTTGCTTTCAGTGCTGTTTTTGTTTTCTGTTTTGTTTGTTTTGAGATGGAGTCTTGCTCTCACCAGGCTGGAGTACAGTGGTGCCGTCTTGGCTCACTGCAGCCTCTGCCTTCCAGTTTCAAGCGATTCTCCTGCCTCAGCCTCCCGAGTAGCTGGGACTACAGGCATGCACCACTATGCCTGGCTAATTTTTTTGTTTATCTGTTTTTTTGAGATGCAATCTCACTCTGCTGCTCAGGCTGGAGTGCAGTGGCATGATTTGGGCTCACTGCAACCTCTGCCTTTCAAGTTCAAGCAATTCTCCTGCCTCAGTCCCCCAAGTAACTGGGACTACAGGCACATGCCAGCACACCCAGCTAATTTTTTAATTTTTTTAGTAGAGACAGGGTTTCACCATGTTAACCAGACTGGTCTCGAACTCCTGACCTCAGGTGATCCACCTGCCTCAGCCTCCCAAAGTGCTGGGATTACAGGCGTGAGCCACCTCGTCCAGCGTATTGTTTTGTATTTTTAGTAGAAACAGGCCATGTAGAGACTGGCCATGTTGGCCAGACTGGTCTTGAACTCCTGGCTTCAAGTGATCCACCCACCTCGACCTACCAAACTGCTGGGATTACAGGTGTGAGTCACCATGCCTGGCTTCAGTTCTCTTTTTTTTTTTTTTTTTTTTTTTTTGAGACGGAGTTTCGCTCTTGTTACCCAGGCTGGAGTGCAGTGGCGCGATCTCGGCTCACCGCAACCTCTGCCTCCTGGATTCAGGCAATTCTCCTGCCTCAGCCTCCTGAGTAGCTGGGATTACAGGCACGCGCCACCATGCCCAGCTAATTTTTTGTATTTTTAGTAGAGACGGGGTTTCACCATGTTGACCCGGATGGTCTCGATCTCTTGACCTTGTGATCCACCCACCTCGGCCTCCCAGAGTGCTGGGATTACAGGCTTGAGCCACCGCGCCCGGCTTTCAGTTCTCTTTTGATTGGTGTGAATATAGCTGAACCAGATGCACCAAGATACATTAAGCTCACAAACACCACAATACTGGGAAGAAGCCAACATCATAACTGATCTGTGGTGTAGAAAGTCAGGATAGAGGTTTACCTTTTCAGAGTTGGGTTTGGAAGCTGTGACTTCAGGGACAGGAGGACGATCGGGACTAGGTCCTGCTCTTTCTTCTTTTTTTCCTTTTTTTTTTTTTTTTCGAGATGGAGTCTTGCTCTGTCGCCCATGCTGGAGTGTAGTGGCGCATTCTTTTGGTTTACTGCAACCTCCACCTTCCGGGTTCAAGTGATTCTCCTGCCTCAGCCTCCCAAGTAGTTGGGATTACAAGTGTGCACCACCACGCCTGGCTAGTTTTTGTATTTTTAGTAGAGATAGGCTTTTGCCTTGTTGGCCATGCAGGTCTTGAAGTCTTGACCTCAAGTGATCTGTTCGCCTCAGCCTCCCAAAGTGCTGGGATTACAGGCGTGAGCCACCGTGCCCTGCCTGGTCCTGTGCTTTCTTGACGCTGGTGCTAGTCCCGTGGGTTTCTGCAGTTTGTGATGGTCCACTGAACTGTGTACTCAGGATTTGTCAGCTTTTAAAATACACATATACTTCAAGAAAAAGCTTTAAAGATACGGAAAAGATATGTAGCTACCACAGCTTTATTTTAACTAGTGTTTGATCTAATATTTACTAATATTTAGCCTTTCTGTGTTATTTTATTTTAGGCCAAATAGGTGCATCATGTGCATCTAATCCGAGAGTCTTGTGCTTCTGGTAAGTGAGTCCATCTTATTTTATTTATTTATTTTGAGACAGAGTTTTGCTTAGCCATGTAGAGGTTTTACTCTCTGCAGCAGGAGACCCTGGGCAACACCTGGCACAGGAGTGCTGGGCTGTCCTTGGCTCGCTCCCAGCTCTCAGGGCCACCATGTTCCAGGCATGGGAAGTACTTGCTGCACATGTTGGTGCACTGCTCTCTCTCTTTTTTAGGGGGGGATGGAGTCTCGCTCTGTCACCCAGGCTGGAATGCAGTGGTGCGATCATAGCTGACTGCAGCCTCCACTTCCTGGGCCAAGTGATCCTCCCATCTCAGTCTCCCAAGTAACTGAGACTACAAGTGTGTGCCATCACAGCTGACTAACTTTTTTTATAGCATTGAGGTCTCCTTATGTTGCCCAGGCTTATCTCAAATTCCTGGGCTCAAGCTGTCCTCCCACCTCAGCCTCCCAAAGCGCTGGGATTGCAGGTGTGAGCCACCAAGGCTGGCCCCTTCTGTTGTTTTAATTTTCTTTTCGTCCTTAGCCCTTAACATTTTGTCTTCATTCTTCCAGATAAGGTGAATGAGTATTGTCATCTTCCTCCTGAATGACACTGCTTAGCATGCCAGAGAGGAGGAGGGGGAAAGACAGCCCGAGGGCAGCAGTCAATACAGGTGAGGCTGGAGGCTGGGCACTCTGGTGCACACCTGTAATCCCAGCACTTTGGGAGGCCAAGGCAGGAGGATTGCTTGAACTCAAGAGTTCAAGACCAACCTGGGCAAAATAGTGAAACCCATCTGTATAAAAAAAATACAGAAATTGCCGGGCGCGGTGGCTCAAGCTTGTAATCCCAGCACTTTAGGAGGCCGAGGCGGGTGGATCACGAGATCGAGAGATCGAGACCATCCTGGTCAACATGGTGAAACCCCGTCTCTACTAAAAATACAAAAAATTAGCTGGGCATGGTGGCACGTGCCTGTAATCCCAGCTACTCAGGAGGCTGAGGCAGGAGAATTGCCTGAACCCAGGAGGCGGAGGTTGCGGTGAGCCGAGATCGCGCCATTGCACTCCAGCCTGGGTAACAAGAGCGAAACTCCCTCTCAAAAAAAAAAAAAAAAATACAAAAATTAACTGGTTGTGGTGGTATGAGCCTGTAGTCCTAGCTACTCAGGAGGCTGAGGTGAGATAATTACTTGAATTTGGAAGATCAAGGCTGCAGTGATGATGCCACTGAGCTGAGATCACGCCACTGTCCTCCAGCCCGGGCAACTAAGAGAAACCCTGTCTCAAAAAAAAAAAAGTAGGGCTGGAGAGGGCAGTCCCAGGCAAAGAGCGAAGTCTGTGCCTGAGTGTCCAGCAGTACTCCCACTGGGATGGGCGGGGGTGAGCCAGTGACGCAGGCAGGGCTGTTTATGGCAGCACCAAGTCACTTGACCTGTGGAAGAAGTGGCCAGACTGGGCCTCCACTTGTTCTGTTCTCTTCCCTCAGCACCTGAGTTCCCAGATCTTGCCCGCTGCCCTGGAAAGCCCAAGACTCAGGCAATGGCAGCCTTGTTCCTGTCTGCTCCACCCCAGGTGAGTATCTGTCCTCCTGGGAGTTGTAAAGTCTTTACCCAGGGCTTTCCCTGACAAACACTGTCAGGTATCTCTGGTTTGGGGTGCTGACATGATGGTAGGGGTGGCCCTGGGAACCCTATGCAGGCACCTCTTGGGTAGTATTAGCTGGCTTAGTGGCAGATGGGTCAGGCTACCCACTGAGCTGCTGCTTTTAGCATGCTTTTGCTCCCCCGCTGCCCCTACCAGCCCACTCTGGACCACACCTGGGCTGCAGCAGCCCCTGTCATTCCAGGCCGAGGTGACCTTTGAGGACGTGGCTGTGCTCCTCTCCCGGGAGGAATGGGGCCGCCTGGGCCCTGCTCAAAGGGGCCTCTACAGGGATGTGATGCTGGAGACCTACGGGAACTTAGTCTCACTGGGTAAGGCCCTCCTCAGGACTCAGCTCTGGGAACAGCCCTGGGGGCTAAGGAGGCTGGGCTGTGGGCCTAATCCCCTGGGTGCAGAGGTAGGTAATGACCTTTATCCCAGGCAGGCATCTGATCTGAGAAGATGAGGGGAGGCATGGTGCTGGGACCTTCCTGAGTCAGCCCTTCCCTTCCCTCTCACCCCAGGTCCCAGGCAGACCCCTCCCTGGTGGGGTGGGGAGACTGGGGCATCAGAGTTGCACACTTCCTAGTAGAGGGAACCCCTGAGCTCTTGTTCCCCTCTGCTCAGACCTTTGTCTTCAGGACTGTCCCAGCCAATCTCAGTGCCCTCCAGAGAGTGTCCAGGCTTCCATCACCCCTCTACCTGTGCCTCCCTTCCCCTGCAGCCCCAGGGTGAGATGGCACTAGGTGCTGCCCGGTGTCCTTGGTACCAACCCCAGGCCCTGTCTCCTTCCCAGGGGTAGGACCTGCAGGCCCCAAGCCTGGAGTGATCTCACAGTTGGAGCGAGGGGATGAGCCCTGGGTCCTGGATGTGCAGGGCACTTCTGGGAGAGAGTACCTGAGAGTCAACAGCCCAGGTGCGTGAGGGGATCTGCTCCCCAACTCAAGTTGCTGAACGAGCATTTGTTGGGGTCCAGGGTGTCTGGTTAATGACTCAGGAGTTTGTGGGAAAGATGCATTGGGACTAGCACAGGAGGCCTAACATTGGCTTCTGCTGAACCCCAGGTCACCTCTCTCAGTCTGGGTACCTTGTCGGGGAGATTCTTGAGCAGAATCTTCTAGGAAGGTGTGGCCAGGGCAGCATTTCTGTGGAAAATCGGAATGGGCATTCCAGGCGGGTCCCGGGTAGAAAGGAATGAGCAGGTGCAGCCCAGGAGTGCTGTAAGGGGAGGTTAGGGGCTGCGGAATCACAGAACCCTCCCCTCCAGAACTTGTGCCAGACAATGAGAGCCTAGTGATGGGGACTATCACTTCATTCCCCTCTCTTGTAAATTAATGCACTATGGAAAAGGGGGAGAATACATACTGCTGAATCTCACTACTCAGACAGAGTTGTGTTCTAGTATATTTCTGTTATTCCTTTTCTAGCACTGGTCTTTCCACTGTTATGTAAGGACACTGCTTTTTTTTGGTTTTGTTTTTTTGAGACAGGGTTGCCTTCTGTCACCCAGGCTGGCATGCAGGGGAGTGATCATGGTTCACTGCAGCCTTGACCTTTTGCACTCAAGCAATCCTCCCACCTCAGCCTCCCAAGTAGATGGGACCACAGGGATGTGTCACCACACCCGGCTAATTTTTTAATTTTTTACAGACCAAAAGGTTTCACTATGTTGCTCAGGCTGGTCTTGAACTCCTGGGCTCAAGCAATTCTCTCGCCTTGGCCTTCCAAAGTGCTGGGATTACAGGTGTGAGTGACTGCACCTGGCCCAGACACTGCTGCTTTTTTTTTTTTTTTTTGAGATGGAGTCTTGCTGTGTTGCTCAGGCTGGAGTGCAGTGGCACGATCTCAGCTTGCTGCAGCCTCCATCTTCTGGGTTCAAACAATTCTCCTGCCTCAGCCTCCCAAGTAGCTGGGACTACAGGCGTTTGCCACCACGCCCAGCTAATTTTTTATTTTTAGTGCAGTTGGGGTTTCACTGTATTGCCCAGGCTGGTCTCAAACTCCTGGGCTCAAGCAATCCTTCCACCTTGGCCTCCCAAAGTGCTGGGATTACAGGCGTGAGCCACCACGCCCAGCTGACACTGCTTCTTAACAGGAATGACAGTGCATTCTGCTGTGCAGAAATGTACACGGAATGTGTTTCCATTTCTGTGTGCATGAGTCTCAATTGCGTCTTCAGTGGAAGTGCCGGTCAGAAGATTGTCGTCTAATTTTTCTCTGGATAGCTCTGATGGTCACCTTTTTGCATGTGTCTGATGATGTCCTAGGAAGGAACTGCTGGCTCAAAGGACTTCTTATTTTGTAAATTTGCTTATTTGGATGTAAATATCTATAGAAATAGGACAAACTGTAAGTTTATAACTCAGTGAATTTTTATGAAAAAAATCATCCTTCAGATTAAAATACAGAATGTTTTCAGCTCCCCAGGAGCTTCCTGGCTTTCTTGTCATGTTCCACTGCTCCCCACAGGGTCCTTCTTTCTGTCTCCTGTTGCAAGAGGCCTCTTCACCCTTCGAATTTTTCTGTCTTGACTCTCACAGGGCATCTTTTGCTACCATTATGTTTCATGGAGGAGCAGTGTGCTCTGTTTGGTTGCCATTGTTCTGTTATATGAACATACCACAATTTATGTTCCCTTCTACTTGTGGAGGAAATTCAGTTGTCCCCAGTTTGGGGTTGTAGAGGAAATGCTGTGGCCATTCCTGCGCGTGCATCTCTATGGTGCCCAGAATACATTTCTGGTGGATGTGTACCTGGGAGCAGTCGCTGGGTCAGCATGTTCGTAGATCATCAGCTTTAGATGAGGTTGCCAAACTGTCCTCCAAAGCAGCAGCTCCAGCGTCAGCTCCTGTAGCAGCATGTGAGTACTATCTGCTGCACATCTTGGCATATGTTGGTGTTCAGCACCTGCTCACGTGCAGTGCAGAGCCAAGCAAGGGGTGGAAGGATAGACCCCTTGGGACTGGGAAGGGAGCAGTGATTAAAGTGGCAGTCAACTGGGCGTGGTGGCTCACACCTGTAATCCCAGCACTTTGGGAGGCCAAGGCAGGCGGATCGTGAAGTCAGGAGTTGAAGACCAGGCTGGCCAACATGGTGAAACCCCTTCTCTACTAAAAATGCAAAAAATTAGCCTTGCTTGGTGGCGTGCATCTGCAATCCCAGCTCCTTGGGAGGCTGAGGCAGGAGAATCACTTGGGAGGCGGAGGTTGCAGTGAGCTGAGATCGTGCCACTCCACTCCAGCGTGGAGACAGAGCAAGACTCCGTCTCAAAAAAAAAAAAAGAAAAGAAAAGAAAAGAAAGTTGCAGTCATGAGCTGCTTGCACCTGGAACTCACCATGCTGGGCACTGGGCTGAGTGCTTCATGGTCAGTCTGTTGTGTTACTCTATTTTGTTCTCATGACAGTGCCATGTGGTCGCAGATGGAGAAACCAAGGCTCAGAAAGGTAGGTGAGTTGTTGCCTCAGGTGGCTCAGCTGGCAAGTAGGGGCCAGGACTAATGAATCCTGAGTGTGGCTGCTGGTGTCAGTCTCTGAGGGGCCATGTGGCAGGACCCCACTTGGGTACTTGTCACTTTCTGTTCCTGGGGAGTGGCCACCCAGGAGAAGTTTGTTGTGTGAGTGTCAAATCAAGGAAAAAAGGAGTGGATGTTTGAAGGGCTGTACGACTGTGACCCTGGGTAAGCTGCGTAAGGCTCTGAGCTACAGACTGTCATCTTTGCAAGGCTGTTGTGACTTTGGAGATGATCAGATGTGGCCAGCAACATCTCATGCCTGCCTTGCAGAGTCAGAGCAGGTGACCTTTAGATGTTCTGTTTTTTGTTTCAGCTCTTGGGACCAGCACTGAGTACAAGGAGTTGACTTCACGGGAGACATTTGACAAGGAAGAACTGGGCCAACTGAAGGGGACTTTTCCCCAGGGATCTGAGCCAGTAGATGGCTCTAATCATGCCAGGAAGCCAGAGGGGAGCCTGGAAAAGCTAGTGGAGCAAACCAAGCCAGTCACACTGACCAAAGGGGAGAGCAGCAGAGAATCTGGAGAAAGCCTCAGGTTGGTGTCAAGACCTGTTCCTGACCAGAGACCCCACAAATGTGATATATGTGAGCAAAGTTTTGAACAGAGGTCATATCTCAACAATCATAAGCGTGTACACAGGTCAAAAAAAACAAATACAATTCGTGATTCTGGGGAAATCTTCAGGGCAAACTTAGTTGTTAAAGAAGATCAGAAAATTGCTACTGGGAAAAAATTGCATTATTGTAGTTACTGTGGGAAAACATTCAGGTACAGTGCCAACCTTGTCAAGCATCAGCGGCTTCACACTGAAGAGAAGCCCTACAAATGTGATGAGTGTGGAAAAGCCTTCAGCCAGAGCTGTGAGTTCATCAATCACCGAAGGATGCACTCAGGAGAGATTCCCTATCGGTGTGATGAATGTGGGAAGACATTCAATCGGAGGCCCAACCTCATGAAGCATCAAAGGATTCACACCGGGGAGAAACCCTACAAGTGTGGTGAGTGTGGGAAACACTTCAGTGCCTACTCTTCCCTTATTTACCACCAGAGAATCCACACTGGAGAGAAACCCTATAAATGTAATGACTGTGGGAAAGCCTTCAGCGATGGCTCAATCCTCATCCGACATCGTCGGACTCACACTGGAGAGAAGCCATTTGAGTGTAAGGAATGTGGCAAAGGCTTTACACAAAGCTCTAACCTCATCCAACATCAGAGAATTCATACTGGAGAGAAACCCTATAAATGTAATGAATGTGAGAAAGCTTTCATTCAAAAAACCAAACTTGTTGAACACCAGAGAAGCCACACTGGAGAGAAGCCCTATGAATGTAATGACTGTGGCAAAGTTTTCAGCCAGAGCACACATCTCATCCAGCATCAGAGAATCCACACAGGAGAGAAGCCCTACAAGTGCAGTGAGTGTGGGAAGGCCTTCCACAACAGTTCCAGACTCATTCACCACCAAAGGTCACACCACGGAGAGAAACCTTACAAATGCAGTGATTGCAAGAAAGCCTTCAGCCAGAGCACTTACTTGATTCAGCACCGGAGGATCCACACTGGAGAGAAACCCTACAAGTGCAGTGAGTGTGGGAAGGCCTTCCGGCACAGTTCCAACATGTGTCAGCATCAGAGGATTCACCTTCGGGAGGACTTCTCCATGTAACAGGAGCAGTGTCTGAGGGCAGAGTCCAGTTGAGTACTTCCTGCATGCGCCCCCAGCACCTGACCCTGCCCTTTGTTGATTATCCACACAATGTTTTCACAGGGTGAAAGAGCATTTCTAATTAAAGAAACCCCTTTTCTTAAATCAAAAGCAGTGCATGTTCATTTTAGAGAAATTGAGAGAGAAAAGTGAGCAAAAAAGAAGCTCCCGTAATCTCTCCCACTTAGAAAAAAAAATTCACGCACTGATTTAGAATGTTTTCTTTCAGACATACTGGAGAGCATTTTAAAAAGAAAATACTGTAATGCTTGTCACTGCAGCACCTAGGATCTTCACTTTTGCTATTTTCTCAATATCAGAAAATTCACACTGAAGATAACACCACAAAATTACATGTTGTAAATTTTAAAACATACCAGCGTGGCATGGTGGCTCATGCCGGTAATCCGAACATTTTGGGAGGCTAGGTTGGGTGGATCACTTGAGGTCAGGAGTTTGAGACCAGCCTGGTCTATATGGTGAAACCCTGCCTCTACTAAAAATACAAAAACCAGCCGGGTGTGGTGGTGGGCACCTGTAATCCTAGCTACTTGGAGGCTAAGGTAGGAAAATTGCTTGAACCTGGGAGGCAGAGGTTGCAGTGAGTCAAGATTGTGCCACTGCACTCCAGCCTGGGTGATAGAGCGAAACACTGTCTTAAAAAATAAGTAAATAAAACAATCATATCATTTATACTTTTTATGTTAATAGAGTTGAAGTTGCATTTTTTATTGTGGTGAAATATGTGAAATTTACAATTTTAACCATTTTTAAGTGTACAATTCAGAGGCGTTAAGTACAATCCTAGTGTTGTGTAACCATCACCACTATGTATTTCCAGAACTGTTTTATTATTCCAAACAGAAACTCTGTATCTGTGAAACAATAACTCTTTATTTCCCCCTTCTCCCCGCTGCTGGTAAATGCAATTCTATTTTCTGTCTCTTTGAATTTGTCTATTCTAGGAACATAAATATGTGTGGAGTCATGTAATCTGTGTCTCTTTCTATGTCTGGCTTAGTTCATTTAGCATAATCTTTTCAAGGTTTTTCCATGTCGTAACCTGTTTCAGAACCCCACTACTTTTTTTTTTTTTTTTTTGAGACTGGGTCTTACTCTGTAGCCCAGGCTGGAATGCAACCGTGTGATCTTGGTTCTGCACCTTCACCCTCCCAGGTTTAAACAATTCTCTCACCTCACCCTGCCCGGTATCTGGAACCACAGGTGCACACCATCGCACCTGGCTGATTTTTTTTTTTTTTTTTTTTTTTTTGAGATGAAGTTTTGCTCTTGTTGCCCAGGCTGGAGTGCAGTGGCACAGTCTTGGCTCACTGCAGTCTCCACCTTCTGGATTCAAGTCATTCTCCTGCCTCAGCCTCCTGAGTAGCTGGGATTACAGGTGCCCTCCACCACACCTGGCTAATTTTTATATTTTTAGTAGAGACAAGGTTTCACCATGTCGACCAGGCTGGTCTCAAACTCCTGACCTCAGGTGATTCACCTGCCTCAGCCCCCCAAAGTGCTGGGATTAACAGGTGTGAGCTACTGTGCCCCGCTTAATATTTGTACTTTTTGGCAGAGTTGGAGTGAATTCACTGTATTGCTCAGGCTGGTCTCAAACTCCTGACCTCAAGTGATCTACCCACCTTGGCTTCCCAATGTGCTGAGAATGCAGGCGTGAGCCACTGTGCCTGGCCTCCATTACTTTTTATAACCAAGTAATATTCCATTGAATGTATATAGTACATTTTGTTTATACATTTATTTGTTGTTGGACATTTAGTTGTTCCTACATTTTGCCTATTGTGAGTAATGCTGATATGAACATTGGTGTAAAAATATGTTTTTGCATCTCTACTGTGTGTGTGTGTGCGCGTGTGTGTGTGAGTGTGTGAGCAACATGGCTGTTTATTCACCTGGGTGGAGGCGGGCTGAGGCCAAAAAGGGGTTGATCATTTCTTCCTCTTTCCGTGATCTTACAGCCATTTCAGGTTTCTAATTCGAGAAGGCCCTCCAGAGGTGAAGTCTGGTTCATGGGTGTTGCCATGGGGGTCGCCATGCCATCCATGGAGCAGTCAGACCTCCTGCAGCGCCCTCCTGGGACAGGGGGGCAAACTTTCCAGAGCAGAACGCTCCCTCTCTGGGACAGCACCGCTCCACCCCTCTCCACCCCTCTCTGCACCTGCCCAGCCCCTTGGAAAGGATGCTCCTCTTTTTTTTTTTTTTTTTGAGACGGAGTTTCGCTCTTGTTACCCAGGCTGGAGCGCAATGGCGCGATCTCGGCTCACCGCAACCTCCGCCTCCTGGGCTCAGGCAATTCTCCTGCCTCAGCCTCCTGAGTAGCTGGGATTATAGGCACGCGCCACCATGTCCAGCTAATTTTTTGCACTTTTAGTAGAGACGGGGTTTCACCATGTTGACGAGGATGGTCTCGATCTCTCGACCTCGTGATCCACCCGCCTCAGCCTCCCAAAGTGCTGGGATTACAGGCTTGAGCCACCGCGCCCGGCGCTCCTCACTTTTAAGTACATTTAGCTATATACCTAAGAGTGAAATGGCTGAATCATATGGTAATTTAGTGTTTTGGCCGGGTGTGGTAGCACTTTGGGAGGTTGAGATGGGTGAATCATTTAAGGTTAGGAGTTTGAGAACAGCCTGGCCAACATGGTAAAATCTGTCTCTACTAAAAATAGGAAAATTAGACAGGTATGGTGGTGCACGCCTGTAATCCCAGCTACTCAGGAGGCTGAGGCAGGAGAATTGCCTGAACCTGGGAAGTGGAGGTTGCAGTGAGCCAAGATTGCACTGCTGCACTACAGCCTGGGTGACAGTGACACTCTGTCTCAAAAAAAAAAAAAAAAAAAAAAAGGCCGGGCGCAGTGGCTCATGCCTGTAATCCCAGCACTTTGGGAGGCCGAGGCGGGTGGATCATGAGGTCAGGAGTTCAAGACCAGCCTGGCCAAGATACTGAAACCCTGTCTCTACTAAAGATAAAAAAAATTAGCTGGGTGCGGTGGCACGTGCCTGTAATCTCAGCTACTCCGTAGGCTGAGGCAAGAGAATTGCTTGAACCTGGGAGGGGGAGTTGCATTGAGCCGAGATAGCGCCATTGTACTCCAGCCTGGGTGACAGAGTGAGACTCTGTCTCAAAAAATAAACAGTATGGTAATTACTTAACTTATTGAGAAATGGTCAAACTATTTTCCACAGCGGCTGTGCTGTTTTACCTTTTCACCAGCAAAGCACAAAGGTTCCAATTTTTCTTCGTCCTTGCCGATTGTTATCTTCTGCTTTTTTGATAATAGACATCTTTAAGGTTGTGAAGTATTATCTCTTTGTAGTTTGGATTCGCATCTTGCTAATGTTGAGCGTCTTTTCAGTTGCTTAACCATTTGTATATTTTCTTTGCAGAAATCTCTTCAAGTCTGCCTATTTTTGAATTTGGCTGTTTGGTTTTGTTGAGTTTTAGGGGTTCTTTGTTTTAGATATTAATTCCTTATTAGATATATGATTTGCAAATATTTCCTTTCATTCTATAGGTTGCCTTTTCTCTCTCTTGATAGTTTCCTTTGGTGCACAGAAGTTTTTATTTCGATTCATTTATTTTTTTTCTTTTGTTGCTTTTGCTTTGGATGTCATATGCAAAAAGTCATTGCCAAGTCCAAGGTCATGAAGCTTTTCCATTATATTTTCTTCAAAGAGTTTTACAGTTTTTGTTTGTTTGTTTGTTTTGGTTTGGTTTTTGAGACGAAGTTTCATTCTCATCACCCAGGCTGGAGTGCAATGCCATTATCTTGGCTCACTGCAACCTCTGCTTCTTGGGTTCTCGTATCTCAGCCTCCCAAGTAGCTGGTATTACAGGTGCCCACCACCAGGCCCAGCTAATTTTTGTATGTTTAGTGGAGATGGGATTTCACCATTTGGTCAGGCTGGTCTCGAACTTCTGACCTCAGGTGATGCACCTGCCTCAGCCTCCCAAAGTACTGGGATTACAGGTGTGAGCCACTCCACCCGGCCATGTTTGGTTTGGTTTTGAGGCAGTTGCCTAGGCTGGAGTGCCGTGATGCTATCTCGGCTCACTACAGCCTCTGCCTCCTGGGTTCAAGTGATTCTCCTTTCTCAGCCCCCCTTTCTCAGCCGAGGCGGGTGGATCACGAGGTCAGGAGATCGAGGCCATCCTGGTCAGCATGGTGAAACCCCGTCTCTACTAAACACACAAAAAAATTAGCTGGGCATGGTGGCGCGTGCCTGTAATCCCAGCTACTCGGGAGGCTGAGGCAGGAGAGTTGCCTGAACCCAGGAGGCGGAGGTTGCGGTGAGCCGAGATCGCGCCATTGCACTCCAGCCTGGATAACGAGAGCGAAACTCCGTGTAAAAAACAAAACAAAACAAAACAAAACAACAAAAACCCCACGCTTGATCGCGCAGGGACCCAGGGGAAAGTGCCCCTTCGCCCTCTGAAGGTTCCCGGAAAGCCAACTCACAAAGCAGATGTTTGAAGAAAAGACGAAGAAATGGATTTATTTTTATTCGTTTATTTTGAGGCGGAGTCTCGCCGCGTCCCCCGGGCTGGAGCGCGGCCTCCGCCCCCGGGTTCGAGCGATCCTCCGGCCTCGGCCTCCCGAGAAGCTGGGGCTCCGCGCCGCCTCCACCCACGGCTTCCGCACAGAAAGGCGGGTGGTCCCCGAGACCCGCCCGAGGGAACGGGGTTCGCTCTGCAGGAGCCCGCGGGGGCGCAGGACGGAGACCGACGGCGGGCAGGTCGCGGGAAAACGCTGCCTCCGGGCCTTCATTTCGGGGCGTGCGTTCAGAGCCCCAATCATCGGACCATCTTCATAAGTAACTTTTTGGTGGCATGGCGAATCGGGACACACGCGGTACGGTGAGCGACGGCGGAGCCGGGGGCCCCGCGGCGTCAGGGTTCGGGTCGGGGGGACGCGGCCCGAACGCGCAGCGGCGCCGCCCGAGACCCGCCCACGGACCATAGACGGCGCGGGCCTCCTGCCATCCCAGAGCGGCCCCGGAAGAATGCGGGCGGGACCGCGGCCCGCTTCCGGTTCCGGCGCTCTCGGAGGCGCTCCTAGGCCCGCAGGGGGCGGGGCAGGTGCACTTCCGCCGGGACCTGCCCCTTCTCCGGCTCCGGACCCGGGGCTGTGGGCGGGTCGGCTCCGGGCTCGGCGCGGTCCAGGTGGCTGCCCCGGGCCGAGCGAGCGGGTGGGGCGGTGTCAGACTGGGAAGAAGCGTCACGCGGGCGGGGAGGCGGCGGCCGGTCCAGGAGGGGCCGTTCCGGGCGCCGCGGGAGCCGCCGGCGGGCTGCAGAGGCCGGGCCGTGCCCGCACCCGGAGCCTGGGGCCTGCGGCAGCCCCCCGGCGCCTCCCCGCTCTCCGGCCCTCGGCCCTGGGGAGTCTCTGCTCCAGGCCGGCCCGGGCAGGTAGAACGGCCCTGCGCCCCACTTCCAGGGCCTTCGGCAGGTCCGGACCGCGGGAACGGCCAGCTTCCAGCCGTGAGCGGCCTCCCTGGACCCCCCCGGCCCGGACTCCGGCCCCGGCCGGCCTGGGATCTCGGGGCTGATTGAGCCGTGGGGCGCTGCGGCCCATGCTGCGTAGTGACCCGCCTCCCACGACCCAGGAGGCCGCGCCTGGAATCAGTTTCTGCCTCCTGGCCCTCCGTCCACACCCGTGGTGGAATGGGGCCGAGCCTGAGTTCTCCCCACTGAAGGTAAGTTGGGGGAGACTTCAGGCCGGGGCAGTCTCCCGTCGTCTTCAGGACGCCACAGCAGCCCATGCGCACAGAATGGCAGCCACGCTCCAGCTTCCAGGGCGCCAGGTGAGTTACCCTTCCTTCCTCTTCTGCCTCTTCACCGTCTGCATCCCCATCCCCGTCAGCAGCTGCTCTCCTGTGGTGCCACGAGCCCGGCAACTGGTAAGGCCAGCCAGGGTATGCATCCCCGAGGAAAGGGTTCTGAGTCTGAGCTGCAGACTCGTCCTCCCGCAGGGAGAGGGGCTCTGAGCTCAGCTGGGTCCCCATGTGGCTGCAGTTGGCTGGTCCTCAGTGCTCTCAGCTGCCCCATCAGAGACCTGCTGATACACAGTACTGACCACAGCAGGGCTCTGGGTGGCGGGGCTCCACCAGGCTAGGGCCCTTTTAGCGCAGGCTGCTGCCCAGTGGGCATGGCCCGGGCAGCGGTGATGTGTTGTTGCAGGAGATGCCGCTGACCTTCCAGGATGTGGCCGTGTACTTCTCTCAGGCGGAGGGGCAGCAGCTGGGCCCCCAGCAGCGGGCTCTCTACAGGGATGTGATGCTGGAGAACTATGGGAACGTGGCCTCTCTCGGTGAGGCGCTCTGCACTTGGCCCGGTTCGCAGTGGGGGCTTCTAAGGAGCTTGGGAGGCTGCGCTTTGGCTCTTTGGATCCCGAAGAAGAGGGTCCTGCCCCTTGTCCCCAGGTGTCAGTCTGATCTCAACAGAAGGAAAATTCCCCATGGGAAAAGCCTGCCTTGCTCCCCACTTCTAGGGACTTCACTCCCTGTTGCCAGTGGCCAGGACACTCCCTGGTGTCCCTCCAGCAGCAGGAGAGCTAAGGAGTGGATTCTCCTTCTTACTCTCAACCCATGGGCTCCCTGACCAACGCACATGCAGGCGTACACACGTGCACACAGGGCACATCTCTCCTCACCTGGCCTGGAAGACCCAGCTCCCCAGGCCATGACAACTCACCAGTGTCCTCACCCTCAACAGGATTCCCTGTCCCTAAGCCGGAATTGATTTCCCAGCTGGAGCAAGGAAAGGAACTCTGGGTCCTGAATCTTCTGGGAGCTGAGGAACCAGAGATCTTGAAAAGCTGCCAGAAAGGTGAGAGTGGATGGGATGCTAATCCTAGGCACAGCCCCCCAATCCTGCCTTCAGAGGCTCCAAGTGAGGGACAGCTGGGCGATGGTGTCATGTTAATGGCCTCCTCCAGGGGCAGCCTCACAGATGGAGCCCCCTCGGCAAATGTGAGCATGTGCACACGCTTTAAAAGTTTTATCTTGCTGGTCTGTTTCTTTGCTTTAAAAACATATATAGAGAGAGATCATATTTTTGTTTTGGTGATTACCTTGATAACATTTTCATTCCCTTCTTTAATAATACACTTCTTTCCTTTTGACAATAGGTATTGGTTCTCAACCATGTCCTTTTTTATTCTTCACCCCATTCTGTCCTTCATTCGCCAATTTTAGTACTAGTCTTTTTTTTTTTTTTTTTTTTTTTTTTGGAGAAAGTGTCTTACTCTTATTACCCGAGCTGGAATACAGTGATGTAATCTTAGCTAACTACAGCCTTCACCTCCCAGGCTCAAGCACTCCTCCCACCTCAGCCTCCAAATAGCTGGGACTACAGAGACATGGCACCATGGCTGGCTAGTTTTTGTACTTTTGTAGAGTCAGGGTTTTGCCATGTTGTCCAAACTGGTTTCAAACTCCTGAGCTCAAATGACCCAAAGTGCTGAGATTATAGGTGTGAGCCACTGCACCTGACCAGTAGTATCCTTTTATTAATGTTTACCTTTGTTCTGTTGAATATACATCTACTACTTGGTATGTCAGCTCTAAGTATTATCTTTGACTCGAAGCTACTGAGACGGTCAGTAGGCTTGTTCTACTTTTCTCTCTCGTTTTCCTCATTCCTTTCCCAAATTTTGTTGGTTATATTGTTTCTCCATTGTCAGAACATATAACACTTTACCACCCATATCCGCAGTTTTGTTACTGTCTTATAACTGCAGTTAAGTATGTCATTAATAATTGTTTACCTCTGGTCATTTTACCAAAAATTTCCCCATCTCTTGGTTGACTGGAGCTTGTCTTCTAGGCTTGTGACAAATATACCCCATATTTGTGCACATTCAAAATTGGTTGAATAAAGTCTTTGGTTTCCACATTTAAGAGCTAAGATTATTGTAAAGTCACATAGTTTTCTCAAATCGCAGCTTTAGGTGCATCCCACAAAATTTTAGTATGTTGTATTTTCGTTAACATTTAGTTCAAGTGTTACCTAGTTTTTCTTGTGGTTTCTTCTTTGACCCAGTGATTATTTGGACAAGCATTGATTAATAGTTGGTGTTTTCCTGGTTGTCTTGTTATTAATCTTTGTCATTTAATTCCAGTGTGGTCAGAGAACATACTCTGTATTGTTTTATTCTTTTTATATTTGTTGCGTCTTGTTTTATGACTCCAAATGTGGTCTCTCCTGGTACAAGTACCGTGTGTACTGAAGAAGAATGGGTTTTCTGCCATTTTGGGGTTGGATAAATATCAGTTAAGTCAAGATCGTTAATGATATTGTTCGGGTCTTCTGTATCTTTGCTGATTTTTTTTTCTTTTTCTTTCTTTCTTTTTTTTTTTTTTGTCGAGTTAATCTTTCAGTTGCTGAGGGATGTGTTAAAATGCCTGAAGTATGATCCTGGAATTGTCTTTTCTTCCCTTTAATTTTTGTAGTGTTGGCTTCATGTATCTTAAGCTGTATTATGAGGTTCATTTGCACTTATGACTATCATTATGAGAGATAAGAGAATTCCTCTTTGTCTTTGGTAATACATTTTGTTTTGAAATAAATTTTATCTAATGCTAACATAGCAACTCCATCTTTCTCATACTTACTGTTAGCATAGTATATCTTCTTTCATCCATTTAATTTCAACCTGTGTCTTTATACTCTAAGTGAATCTGTTGCAGATACCATACAATGGGGTCTTGTTTTTTTCTTCATCCTAACAATCCTTGTCTTTTAATTGTAGTGTTTAGTCTGTGAATGTTTAATATAGTTGTTGATATGGTTCAGAAGGCACTTGTGGATAATATTTTATTTTTTATTTACACTTACCTTTTCTATTTTCTAAATTCCTGTTTCCTGCTTTTATTTGAGTTATTTGAATACTTTTAGAATTCCATTTAAATTTTATTTGCTTTTTATGTAATCTTTTTGCACTATTTTTACAGTGATTTCCTAGGGTTTACAGTATATATATACTTAAGTTTTCACAGTTACAGTTCATTTATGTATTACTTCACATAAATCCAGAAATCTTGTAACCATCTCTCCCATCCTTTTTGTTACGGTTGTTATATGTAATTCATCTACATACATTTTAAACTCAGAAACACAATGTTATAATTTCAGACAATGTTATAAACAGTTACATAATTTATAAAAAATTAAAAGGAAAAAGGCCAAAAAAATAGTCTTTTGGCTGTTCTAGCATGTAAGGAACTTAGACATCATCACTGTGTCCTAACAAGTAAAAAGCTGAACAAGCCGGGCGCGGTGGCTCAAGCCTGTAATCCCAGCACTTTGGGAGGCCGAGGCGGGTGGATCACGAGGTCGAGAGATCGAGACCATCCTGGTCAACATGGTGAAACCCCGTCTCTACTAAAAATACAAAAAATTAGCTGGGCATGGTGGCGCGTGCCTGTAATCCCAGCTACTCGGGAGGCTGAGGCAGGAGAATTGCCTGAACCCAGGAGGCGGAGGTTGCGGTGAGCCGAGATTGCACCATTGCACTCCAGCCTGGGTAACAAGAGCGAAACTCCGTCTCAAAAAAAAAAAAAAAAAAAAAAAAAAAAGCTGAACAAACTGAAAAATCAACAAATCTTAGCTCCATGAGAGAGGTGTGAGATCAGAGGACAAATATCTGCTCTCAGAATTGGAGAGGTATGTCCAGGTACGGTGGCTCACACCTGTAATCCCAGCACTTTGGGAGGCCAAGGCAGGTGGATCACTTGAGGCTAGGAGTTCACTAAAAACACGAAATTATATGGGCTTGGTGGTAGGTTCCTATAATCCCAGCTACTTGAGAGGCTGAGATAGGAGAATTGCTGGAACTCTCATACCACTGCACTCCAGCCTGGGTGACAGCGAGACTCTGTCTCAAAAAAAAGAAGGAGAGGTAAACAGGCAGTTACAAAGAATCACAGCTTATGAACAGGAATCTCCTAGGGAACCAGTGGCCAGATGGGTAAGCCTAAAATGTAATTGGCAAATTGCTAGAGGCTCAGTGTGGACAACTCTGAAAAAAAAACAAAAAACAAAACAAAGGGCCGGGCACGGTGGCTCAAGCCTGTAATCCCAGCACTTTGGGAGGCCGAGGCGGGTGGATCACAAGGTCGAGAGATCGAGACCATCCTGGTCAACATGGTGAAACCCCGTCTCTACTAAAGATACAAAAAAATTAGCTGGGCATGGTGGCGCGTGCCTGTCATCCCAGCTACTCAGGAGGCTGAGGCAGGAGAATTGCCTGAGCCCAGGAGGTGGAGGTTGCGGTGAGCCGAGATCGCGCCATTGCACTCCAGCCTGGGTAACAAGAGCGAAACTCCGTCTCAAAAAACAAACAAACAAACAAAAAAAAACAAAACAAAAAAAACCCAGGGGAACCCTATCATGGGAGGACCCCATGCTTTTGTGAGTTTTACCCCCAGGAGCTCTACCAGGTACTCACACAGAAGATCAGAGAAAAAAACTCCTTGTGCTTCTGGCAGGAGGAAGGGAAAAGGAAGCACTTTGGAATAACCAGAGCTTTCTGTCCTTAGCAAGACCTGCCCTCAGGAGAAACTTTCACCAGAGCTTCACTTGCTGGTGCTTTTATCAGAACTCAGCCTTACTGGGAGAAGGGAAATACCTAACACTAGCTGCTTCTAGATATTGCGTCCAACCCAATGGTGGGTGAGGGGAACTGAAAAACACTTGGGAAGTTCATGGTCCAGGGACACAAGTTCAGCAAGACTAAGACCTACTCATAGTATGAAAGAACACTTTCCACCCAACACCTGAAAACATTAAAGCCCTATTTACTGCAATTCCTTTTACCCAGTGTATCATGCCTACCTATCAACAGAAAATTACAAAGCATACTAGAAGGGAGAAAGTACAGTTTGAAGAGACCGAATAAGCACTAGAACCAGAGTCAGATGTGGCAGCAGTGTTGGAGTAATCAGACCAGGAATTTTTTTCAAACTGTGATTGACATGCTGAGGGCTTTAATGGAAAAAGTAGACAGACTGCAAAAACAGACCGATAATGTAAGCGGAGAGTTAAATTTTAAGAAGCTCGATGTGGTGGTACATACCTGTGTTTGCAACTACTCAGTGTGGCAGGGTTGCCTGAGCCCAGGAGTTCAAGGCCAGTCTAGGCAACATGGTGAGATTGTCGTTCTTAAAAAAAAAGAGAAGAAAAATAAATTTTAGAATTTTTTAAATGCTAGAGAGCAAAAACATTGTAACTGAAATGAAGAGGCTGGGCACGGTGGCTCAAGCCTGTAATCCCAGCACTTTGGGAGGCTGAGGCAGGTGGATAACGAGGTCAAGAGATCGAGACCATCCTGGCCAACATGGTGAAACCCTGTCTCTACTAAAAATACAAAAAATTAGCTGGGCATGGTGGTGCGTGCCTGTAGTCCCAGCTACTCAGGAGGCTGAGGCAGGAGAATTGCCTGAACCCAGGAGGCGGAGGTTGCGGTGAGCTGAGATCGCACCATTGCACTCCAGCCTGGGTAACAAGAGTGAAAAAAAAAAGAAATGAAGAATGCCTTTTTGATAGGCTCATTAGTAAAAGGGACAGGACTTCCCAGAGAATATTAGTTGAAAGTGGACTTGGATTAGCTGTAAGTGCAGATTGCAAACCAATTTAAAAAGTTAAATAAATATAGTTGATATTCCAAAAAAGGATTCAAAATGGAATTACATATAATAGAATGCTCTTGTAAACCCACAAAAGGCAGAATAAGTATGGAAAACAAAAATAGGAATGAAGAACAAGGGCAGAAGTAGAAAATGATAACAAATATGGTAGATGTTAATTTAGCAACATCAATAATCACC